GTGTTATAAAACAGGAGCTTCTCCTTTACTTCTTCCTTCTCCTCTTCCTTCTTGTCAAAGGATAGTAACCAAAAGAGAAGTGATTCCTCATTTGAAAATGGAGAAATCATTTCTCAATAAAAATGATTATCCCTAAATATAAAACAGAGATATAAACTGTCTTCAACAAAACAGGAAAACAGTTGTAACTTCAGATACAACCAATGAAAAGAGCTGTCAAATGAAGACAGATCTAACAGGAAGATGCCTGGAGAGGATATCTCTACTCCAGACCTCAAAGTCATCAGACAAAAAGACTCCAAAATAGTGGACATTATCTGAGGGGCAAAACCAACTTCTTGTCTGAGACAATGGAAATGCAGTGGGAACCAGCAATGAGGGGTTTTCTGGATACGGCCTGGGACCACAGAGTAGCAAGTGAGGCAAAGCCAAAGGAGGAGATACGGACATGTCACTTACAAGAAGCTGTCTGTGGATGAGACTAGAGTGGAGGAAAGAGACTCCAAGAGGGAGTAGCTCTGCAGTTGTCAATTATTGTTTGCTGGAGAGAATAAAAGGCTAAAACAGCTCTCGCAGAGCCACAATCCTGTCATAAGTAGCTTCCTGAATACCCAGGAAGAGCTGTTTGTTCAAAATGCTGCATTACCCACTATATGGGTGTATACCAAATAGGTGAGCTAGAAAGAAACTTATTTCAAGATGAGTGATGAATGAAAATGAACCCACCTGTTACTCGCACAAACACTCCAAGAAAATGACAGGAACAGGAGAAATAATAGCAGGTAAAACCATTGTTGATACAGGGGTGCCTGGGTGGCTCAGGCAGTTAAGCGTCTGCCTTCGGCTCAGGTCATGAGCCAGGAGTCCGAGAATTGAGTCCCTGAGTTCCAGGATCGAGTCCTGCATTGGGCTTCCTGCTCAGTGGGGAGTCTCTTCCCCCTCTGCCCTTGATCCTACTTGTGTTCACTCTCATTTTCACTCTCTCTCAAATAAATAAATAAAATCTTTTTAAAAAATTGTTGAGAAAACTATTCAACAGAAAAAAATTGATCTACTGAGCATGTGAAATATATGACCAAATATACTGTCATAATTCAACTGAAGGAAACCAGAAGTTAATCTAGAGATACAGGTGATCAGAAACCACATAGCAACACAACCGAAGGAAATGCGATAGGAGTTAACAGAGTTCAGGAAAGAAATGGAAAAGCAAAAAAGTCATCCCAAAACAAATGCCATACCAGAGGAAGTACAAAAGGGAGAAGTGAAACTGAGAGAAGGCCAAAAGGGATAAGGTAGAAATGGTTTCATCTTGATTAATCAGGGCTTCAAAATGTGGCATTTAAATTGATAAGCATGTAATAAAGCCATAAAATATTTATAGGTATAAAGCTAAACACAAGGAAAACCAAAGAAATAAAACAGTCAACTAAAACTGCTCTAGAGGGAAGGCAGAAAAAAAGTATACTGATTGGACATTGTTCATAGCAGGGAGTCAATAGCATCTAAAAAATGAAATACATAAATCAAATTACAGTTAAGAAGAAAACCACTAGGGGAACAAAGGAAACTAGAGCAAATATGGATAATACAAAATGCAGTGTACAATGTGTACTGCTGATTACTTATCCTTTATTCATCCTTCCACCCCTCATCCCTAACAGAACCCAAATTTTGGTCATATGTCCATCTTTTCTTCACATAATCATGTGCTCAAAGGAGGGATTCTTAACCCAGAGTGTTTCTGCTTCTCCAGGGGACATTTTGACAATATCTAGAGACATTTTTGACTCTCTTTTAGGGGGAGTTACTGGCATTTAGGTTAGAGACCAGCAGAACAGCTTCAGGCCAAAATCCTATGATCTTTCAGGCCTTATCATAGGCAATTACAAAAGCCTTTACATTGGCTTTATGACAGAAAGCTGTCCTCCCCACACAGTCTTTGAAGGGAGCTGTAGTCAAGGACTCAGGCCACCAATGGCCACCATGCTCATATTCATATCTGCCTTCCCAGCCCTGGCACCTCCATCCAGAGGCCTCCTTCTCAGAGGGACCTTGGCCATGGCAATGTTCGGGCGTCTTCACTGAGACCTTCTTACTGCGGAGAGAGGTCTTGATCAACATACACTTCTCCTCTCTGTTTTTTCCACTTCTGGCCTTTCTTTCTCTCCCCTTCCTGTCCCTGGGTTCTTAAAATGGCAGGGATCTTCTGCTCAGTGCTCCTCAGCAGTGAGACTATTTCCTCCATCCACACTGCGTGTCATGTGATTGATCCCTACCCAGTGCCATTCAGTGGGGGGTGGGGCAGGAGGGAAGGAAGAACAGTGAAGAGCCAATACTACTTTTCTTTTGGGCCTCTTGCTTATATTATCACGGTAAGTAAACAGAGACTTGATCATTATTTTCATTTTGGCTCATTGTATTAATTGACTACTTCAACTCTTGCAGCCTAGCATAGGAATATTGCTAAACACCGACTAGGAACAGAACAGCCTTCCACAATAAAGCATTAATTGGTCCAAACTATCTACAATGCTGAGGCTTTTGGGGGAACTTGACCCTATCACCAGCTTCAGAGCCAACAAGCCCATAGAACTCTCCTAGAGAATGTTACTCATCCAGGAACGGATAGATGACCAAATAAGTTGGCCCAATCACATGGAAATGAAAGACTTACTATTCCATGGGTAAGAGAATTTTCAATTTTTGTTGTGTTAGGCATGAACAAGGGAGCATAAAACCCTAACTGCCATGGGCAGCCATTTTGTGAACATGAGGTAAAACAACTTTGGGATAAAGCTTGTACAGTGCTATAGGAGTGAGGGAGAAAAGGTGGGTCCTTGAAGGCAGTATGGACTGAGAAGACTGTGGCTAGAACCCACCTCCCACCTGTGGACTTGCAGAAATGTGTTCTAAATTTCCTTATGATTTTAAGTTTCAACTGGAGTTTTTCTTACTTGGAGTGATAAGTATTCTTTTACAAAAAGATAAACAAAATAACAAAAGCAATAAAAGTAGAAAGCATTAACCTAAAAGCAAAGGTATATTACATATGAATAGACTACACTAATATATGAAATAAGAGGAATCCTAAAATTGAATCACAAAGCAAAACTCACCATATACTATTTTAAAAAACTTGAAAAAACTGACAAAAATACAAAAAATACAGGGATGAATAAAGGTGTAATCAAGCAAATGCAAGCTAAATGAAAACTTCAGTCATAATATTAATATCAGACATTTTAAATTATAGGACAAAAGCATCCAGGGAAACAACAACAACAACAAAAGATTTTGTTGTAATGATAAAGGTTATACCCACATTGGAGATCTACCAGTCCTGAATTCATATGCAATGGAAAACACAGCCACATACAACAGAGAAAAAAAATAAAAACTGACAATAAAAGGAGAAAACCCCTAAGTGAAAACTTTCATTTACCTTTGTCTCAAGTTATGCCTAAGCACATGGACCAAATGAAAAGGTTACAGAAAATCTAAATGATATATTTAATCAAAATATAATTTACATATAAAATAATAGATCTTATATAGTTCTCCGTTCTCTGAAAATAGAGTAGACCTTCAAAACAATTGACCCATATAAAGAAAACGTCACATGGCAATAGTGTGGTACTCATTATTCTGTACAAAGGGAGAGCTGTTTCTACTTGGACTCCTTATGACAAGTGACTCCTTCAGAAGAAATATAAAAATTGTTCCCCTGGGTAAGAAGCTGCTAGTGGTGACAGCTCTAGGCACAGTTTATGAAAACTGGAGAGAGGCTAGAGATGGAGGTGCTGAGCCACTGCAGAAATGATCCCTACTTGACTAAGAAGAATACAGGCAGTCTACACTGTCCAGGTAAGTCAAGGATAAAATGATGTAATATTAATGAACACTATATGGAAAGCAAACTTTGATAAGAGCAAAAGAAAATACTGAGGACTTTTCGTCAAGGATGAAAACCAGACAAAAAGGTAAGATCTTAGTTCAAACTGGCATGAAACTAGGTAATAGTGGACATGCAGAGCAGAGCCAGAAAACCTGGAGGGAAATCTGGGTACTACTGTTCGAAACAGACTTCTGTCTTGTCTAAAGAGTTTTAATGAAGTATTTCTTGAAGAAGTGTACATTCAACTTGTCTCTCTCCGTGGCCATCTATTGCCCTTTTGCTCCATGTATACACTAAGCACACTGTTACAAGTTCTCTGTCCCTTTACTGTTTTTCTTCTGCCTCCATTTCCTGCTCAAAGGAAACACGAGAACAGCTGTTCAGCACATTTTGCTCCTTAACCTGAGGTTGGGGAATAACCCCCCACCCCGAATATTTCCTGTTGAGGATGGGCTATGAGACCTCAATACAACCAGGGCAGCAAAAGCCACCAGCACAACTTCAAGGGCAAAGTTAAGTCTGAGTTCAGATGTATGGTTAAGGATGGGAAGAATGAATAACGTACTCTAAGATCAAAACCCCAGAATGGCTGGGCAGTTGCTCGGGCAGCGCCTTCTCATCTCTTTGCCAGGCGGAGGACTAGGTCGCAAGCAGTATCTTCCAGTATTTAAAACAAACGAAAAATATACCTTCCAGGGACAGAATCACTTGAGAAACAGATGGTTCCGTCCAACTTCCACTAAATAGGGGTAACTATCATTTCTTGCTCTTATGTATAAGCCTTTTTGTTGCTTCAGAAAAGGATTAAAAGATTCTTTGAAATAAGACTGTCCAGTCTATACAAAAATATTACTGAGTTTAGTGACTACAGTCAAATCACAGTTCTTGTATAACAATGGAAAAAGTGAGCTATGCTGAACTCTTCTAGTTAATTTCTAGGAAATATATTGCAATGTGTATGGCCAACAGCAAGTTTTATTTCACAACTAAGATAGCACTGTTTAATAATCAAATAGTTTTCTTCATTTACTTCTATTTTGAAAGCTAAAAGGAAAGATAAAGAACAGGAATAAAAAATAATTTGTCATTTAAGTCACTCTGATACTGAAGTAAAATATTTTAATTCAGTTCCACTTAAAAAATAAAAGGAGTTTCTTACTCCCACACTGAGCACATTAACATTTTCACATACAGAAAGCTTAGGTACATTCAACTGTTTACAAGACATGTCTCCACATAATACAATTACATTCAAGTGAAGTATATAAACTTGTATAATTATATATATTTGTGACTCCTGTATCTGGTACTTTTAAAACTAACACATAATATGCTTATTTTCTAAAAGTCAATTCTTAGATGATGACCTAGAGTTAGGAGAGTCTCCTGAAAAATTTTAATAGTTGTGTTCATATGAGAATTCAGTAATTTCCTGAACATAAGCTTCAAACTAAAGCTTTAGCAATTTAAGTGACCTGACTGGCAATGCATGGAATTCTTATCAGGTTGTACTGTTTGGTTTACAGTTTAAGTCATTTCAAGTGGTTTATAATTATTTGTGCATTAGGGGGGAAAAAGCACCAAGGATAATAAATATTTTTTCACATCATAGATGAAATCACAAAACAATGATCTCAATTTCCTTTCAAAATCTAATCATTTGAAAAGAGCATTTATTTCAAATGTTCTATCTTTAAGCTTTCTTAGTGAGATCAACTAATACACTAGAGATAAGAGTAGAAATGCTAAAAAGAGGTGCTATAGATAATATCTACCAACTACAGAATTCAGACATTTTTCTCACATTGATGATACCCATTTTTGAACTGATTTCCTTAGATCTAAAAAGAACTTTGAAAATAAGTGTAACATTTATAAACTTGTCAACTATATCTCTTTAAAAAAAAATCTAAAGATGTCTTTCTTCCCAACACACGAAGCAAAATTTTCCTGATGAGCAAAAGCACCTTATGGTAAGGAAATATATAAAGAAAATATTTTCTACAAATTAATATAAGAAATTTATGTGCATAAAGGTGTAGTTATTCCAGCTGTATATGTAATATTTTAAATAACATATAATAAAAAAACTCAAAGCACAGATTGAAAAAATAACCCATATGTTAATACTCCAGTTATTAAATATTGCAGCATATATGTAATTCTAACAATTGGGAGAAAATGTTTCTAATCTAAATGGTCAATGAAATCTCTTTGGAAATACACTTAAAAAAATCTGCATCAGTAATCCTGACTGTCAAATTCTAACCCAAGCTACAGGTTTTTACAGCTAAGATAAAATCCCATGAAAATGAAAGTGGATATAGAGGTCACCTCACAGATTCTTAAGTAAACAGCATTATTGGTGTGACACTGGTACAAGCTATCTGGGCTTTTCTGTCCTTGTCTTTACCAAAGGTACACCGTAAACATAACATTAAGAATGACAGACCTACCTTGCTATAACTTTTGGTACTCATAAAATGTTAATAAACATTGTCTTAAACATTTCAAGATCATGAGAAAAGTTCCTTACCTGAATATATACAAAGAATTCTCTAGATTTAACATATTCTAAAATGAATTCAGAGATGTATAAGAGAAACATAAGCTACTTGCTTTGACAGTTTTCAGTCAAGGTTTATTATGTGTCCTTTTCTATTGAACATATGACTTTTATATATTTAAGGAGTTCCAGCTTCTGCTAAGATTTCATTTCTTTTTCCCAGTGGTCTTTTTGTGTTCATGCATTTCTGTTTTGTTAGTTATATTCTTTTTTCGAGATGAGGTATTAGGAACAACTGCATTAGAAGGTCCGCTGGTAGCTATACAAAAAAAGAAAACTATTGCTTAGATTTTCACAAGAATTCATGTTCAAATAATACTGCTAAGTGATAAAATAATTACTTCATAATTGTGATGTAAATGAAACATTATAAACATTCAACAGAGCATTTTTAACCTTTTAACTTTTTAGAATTCAACACTAATACAAAAAAGTAATTTCAATGGGCCATGTTCACAAAAAATTTCTCTTTTCACTCTACATTCTTCCTAGAAAACTAATTTATTCATCATTTTTAACTACTATCTATTGTGCTAATGATCTTCAAATGTACACTCTGGTCCCAGATCTTTTCCCTTACTTCAAGATTTGTATATCCTGTATATTCCAATAGAAATCTCTGTATAGGTAACTGACAGGAAACATAAACTTAGTATGTTTAAAACTCATCATATCCCTAAAAACATCTATTTTCTACTCTATCTTTTATGTCATCACTATTTAAAAAGCCTGAAGATGGGGTGCCTGGGTGGCTCAGTTGGTTAAGCATCTGACTCGAGTTCAGGTCATGATCTCAGGGTCCTCCCTGCTCAGTGGGAAGCCCGCTTCTCCCTCCCCTCCCCCTGCTTGTGTGCTCTTTGTCAAATAAATAAATAAAATCTTGTACAAAAAAATAAAAATCTGAAGGTTAGAAAACTACAGACATTCTTGATTTAGAATTCATCCTTCTATATCCAAACGAAAATCAAGCCCTAATGAGTTACTAAAAAATTATTCTAAGCCAGATTATACTTCCGGTCCAGATGGGAAGCTTCTGTAACACCAATTCTTCTGCAGATAACAAGTATAAACTCAAGACAAAATATAAAAAACAACTATTTGAAGACCCTGCAGAGTAAACAAAAGCAGGCATACAATGGAAAAAATCAACACTTGGAAGAAGTGCTGAGTCCCCCCAACACACATATATTTTTGAAAAAGCTTCTGGCCTTAAAAAAAAATGGGGTGCCTGGGTGCCTCAGTCAGTTGAATGCCTGACTCTTGATTTCAGCTCAGGTCATGATCTCAAGGTTGTGACCACGTTGGGCTCTGCTCTGGGTGTGGAGCCTGCTTGGGATTCTCTCTCTCCCTCTCCTTTTGCCTGTTTGTTCCCCACCCTCCCAGCACCCCCCCACCCCACCGTGCCCAGCCCCTAGCTCATGGCTCACAAGCTGTCGCTCTCAAAAAAAAAAAAGAAAGAAAAGAAAAAAAAAAAGCTTTTGGCCTGAGGACAGTATCCAGAGTATCTAGTCTGAACCATGTGCACTGACTAAAACTCCAACATAAAACTCATTCTTAGCATTAAGAACCAGAAGATAAGTACTGGAACAACTACAGCTGCTGGAAGTCAGGTGGGTGATCTCAGAAAGGGAAAGCCCCCCATTCTTTGTATAAACCCTGATCATATTTATGGCATGAGCAGGGTAAGCTCCAAGTCATCCAGCTGAGGCTAAAAGAAATGAAGTGAAATGTTAGCTGCCAATGACTTCAAGGGACACAGTTTTGCAATCTGAGTTCCGTCAAGGTTAACTCTTTGCTTTACAAGAACCCAAACAACTCAATAGTCTTGTGAGAAACATAACAAAAATAACAGTCTGGAGTTTATACATCTCATTCATAATGTCTAGGACACAATCCAAAATTCCTCAATGTATGAAGAAACAGGAAAACATCTTTCTTCTTGAGAATGGATAAATTGATAGAGACCAATCCCGAGATCAGCCAGAGCAGTTAGTTACGCAAGAATTTTTTTTTTTTTTTTTAAAGATTTTATTTATTTGTCAGAGAGAGAGAGTACACACAAGCAGGCAGAGAGGCAGGCAGAGAGAGAGGAGGAAGCAGGCTCCCTGCCGAGCAAGGAGCCCGATGCGGGACTCGATCCCAGGACCCCAGGATCATGACCCGAGCCGAAGGCAGTGGCTTAACCCACTGAGCCACCCAGGCGTCCCAGTTACGCAAGAATTTTAAAGCAAGCACTTTAACTATACTCAAGAACAAAGGAAAAGGTTGCTTATAATGAATAAGAATATAGGAATATAGGAAATCGCCGAAGAGAAAAAAATTAGAAGAATCAAAAAGTGTCTAAAACTAAAGAATAAATAAATATCTGAAATAATAATCTATGAGATAGGTTAACAGCAGAATGGAGAGGAAAAAGTGAACATCAATCCAAATTATTAAAAAAAAAAAAAAAAGGGGTGCCTGGGTGGCTCAGTGGGTTAAATGCCTTCGGCTCGGGTCATGATTCCCAGGGTCCTGGGATCGAGCCCCGCATGGGGCTCTCTGCTCTGCAGGGAGCCTGCTTCCCCCTCTCTCTCTGCCTGACTCTCTGCCTACTTGTGATCTCTGTCTGTCAAATAAATAAATAAAATCTTTAAAAAAAAAAAAAAAGTCCTGGGCAGGCTTGCCATAGTCAAACTGCTGAGACTTTGTCAAAGATAAAGGTAAAATACTCAAAGCAGGCAGAAAAAAAATAATTCATCAATCCACAGCATACACTGGAACAATTCAAATTAGCAAATACTTCTTATCAGAAACAATAGGAACCAGAAAATGGGAACACCACCTTTTAAATGCTGAAAACAGTAACAACAACAAACGAACAAACAAAACACTTTCTTCCTAGAATTGTCTATCCAGCAAAACTACTTTCCAGGAATAAAGGTGAAATAAAGACTTTTTCAAATACAGAAACAGATCTGCAGTATAAGAAATGCTAAAAAGATTCAGGTTGAAAGCAAAACCAGATGGAAACAAAGACTTAGAAAAAGGAATAAAAACTGATATGGCTAACGTGTGGATAAATAAAAGACTTTTTTTCTCTTCTTAATTTCTTTAAAATACATATATGACTACTTAAAACAAATATTCCAACACTATATTATAGCCTTTATAATATATGTGGAAGTAACACACATAGATAACTATGTGTTAAGGATGAGAGGAGAGGAAGGTAAACGAACCTATAGTTGCAACACTTCGCACATTTTGAGTATAAAATTATCTCTAAGTAGACCATGAAAAGTGAGAGATGCGTATTTACAGCTGCCAATAAAAGAATAATTCAAAAAGATAAAGCTAGAAAGTTAATAGATAAGTTAAAATAAAATACTAAAAAATACTAAATTAATACAAAACAAGGCAAAAAAGAATAAAAGAATAGCAATCAGAATATATAAACAGAAAATATAATAAAATAGTAGATCTAACCCAACCATATCAATAATTACAATGTTAATGAATTATAAACATTTCAACTATATTGTTAGAATGGGCTTTTTTAAAAAGCCAAATGTATGTTGCCTACAACAACAACAACAAAATTTCTTAAATACAAGGACACAGCAGAGAGCAGAGTCGAGGTCTGGAGGTCAGCGCGCCCCGAGCTCTCTGCCTACCCTCACATGTCAGCCGGAGGCCCAGCAGCAGCAACGCCCAGAGCAGCCCCAGCAGCAGAGCCATGGCCGGGTGAAACACCTACATCTACAACCTCATGGTGGACGAGACCTGTCAGGACGCGGCCATCGTGGCCTATAAGGACCTTGCCCTCCGTCTGGGCCGAGGTCCCTCGGAAAACCTTCATCAGCATCATGCCAGCTGAGGTTGGTGTCCTGGTTGGCAAAGACTGGTCAAGTTTTTTCGTGAACGGGCTGACACCTGGAGGCCAGAAACGTCCTGTTATCTGGGACTCACTGCTGCAGGACGGGGAATTTACCATGCATCTTCGTACCAAGAGCACCAGTGGAGCCCCCACTTTCAACATCACTGTCACCATGACTGCCAAGACGCTAGTTCTGCTGATGGGCAAAGAATGTGTCCATGGTGGTATGATCAACAAGAAATGCTATGGAAGTGGCCTCCCACCTGCGTTGTTCCCAGTACTGACCTCATCCGTCCTTGCCCCCCACCACTCACCACGGCTTTTGTACCCCTCTCCTTCCCAGACATACAGATAACACCATTTTTATTTTGGGGGCCATTACCCCACACCCCTTATTGCTGCCAAAACCACATGGGCTGGGGGCTGGGGCTAGATGGACAGACACCCCCCCTACCCAAACCCCTCCTGTGTATGGTTGGAAAACTTTTTTTGTTTTTTTGGGTTTTATTTTCTGAATAAAAAGATTCTACTAAAAAAAAAAAAAAATGAAGACACAGACTATTTGTAAAATACTCCATGCATACAGCAAGCATGAGAAATGTGAAGTAGCAAAATTCACAACAGATTAAATAAACTTGAAGACAAACCATTACTAGGAATCAGAGGGAAATTTCATGATGAGAAATGAGTCAATACATTAGGAAGTCATATCAAATATGTATGTACATAATAAAAAAGCTTCAAAGCACAGAATAAAAACTGACTGAATTAAAGGTAGAAAAAGACAATTCCACAGTTGAGTGAAAATTGCTCTCTAAGCAATTGATACAACAGTGAGAAACTTTCCTCCTATGCACCTGTTCCCACCCCTCAAAATGGTAAAGACACAGAAGATCTGAATACGATTATCAGCAATTCTGACCTAATGGGTACTGATAGAACATTACATTACTGAACTATGGAATCAAATTTCTTTTCTAGTGCTCTTGATACATTTAAGATGTACCAAGTCCAAATGGTAAGCCATAAAAAAGTTTCACATTTAAAAGACTGCAATCCGTGTATGTTACAAAACAGCATATGTTTTGTAATTGCAATGCAATGAAACAAGGAATTAGTAACAAGATCAAATCCCCACCCCCCAAATATTTAGAAATTAACCAATATGTTTCTAAATACTCCATGACTCAAAGAATAAATCACAATGTAAATTAGAAAATATTTTTAATTGAGAATGAAAATAAAATTTAACTTTTGTGAGGTGTAGCTAAAAGAGGGAAATTTACAGCTTTAAATGTTTATATAGTAAGAGAAGAAATGTCTCACAAAAAGTGATTTAGAAACTAGAAATAGAAAATAAATATAAAATAAGTAGAAGGAAGAAAATATTAAAGAGTGGAAATCAATGAAATATAAAACAAACAGCTAAAATCTAGCTCTTTGAAAACACCAACAGAATGGATAATTCCCTAGTAAGGGTAATAGAGAAAAAAAAAAAAACCACAACACAAATTATCAGTATCATGAATTATAGAAGTTATTACCACATTCATTAAAGGATAATAAAGTAACAAGAAAGTTGACAACTTAGATAAAATGAACAAATTCCTTGAAAACTACAAGTTATCAAAGCCATCACTAAAATGAAACAGAAAATTAATTCTATCAAAATTTAAGAAATACCCATCTTACAAAAACTCATTCAGAAAATAGAAAGAGGAAGAAATACTACCCAAATCATTTCATGAAGCCAGAATCAATCTGATACCAAAATCTAAAAGATATTACAAAAACAAAGAAAACAAACAAAAAACCCAACTACAGACCAGTCACTATCTTTCACAAATGCAGGTGCCCAAATCATCAAAGTCAAAGTGAATTCAGCAACATATAAATAAATTATTCATCATGACCAAGTAAGGTTTATCCCAGAAATGCAAGATTGACTTTTAGTGGTTTCTATTTGGAAAGTCAAATACAATACCATTTCATCATTATTTAAAAATGCTTATGAAATAATGCATTTATTATGTGTCTAATATATAGAGAACAACAATGTACCATGATTCAAAGAGTATTCAGGTCCGAGGCCTACCAATTAACAGTTATATGAACAGGAGTAAGTCACAACCTCTCTGTAACTTTTCATCCATAATGGCATGGCCATGGGCCATGTTTAGAAATATAAGAGTAAAAAAGCTCTTTGTAGCATAAAAAACTATATAAATGTTAGCTTTGAGTTATATATGGAATATACCATAATTTATATTTAAGATACTCAGATATTAAGTTTTATATTTAAGATTATATTTAAGATTTCAGTTGTCTATACCTGCATATTCTGATTATTTAGAATGTACTAAGTTTAAATATATTTAAGATATTGTCTTTAACTTATTAAAGCCTGATAATCTGACAAAGCTATAATTAGGTATAAATATCAAGTCAGTAGCGGAGTGTCATCAGAGCTCTTGTCTTGGTAATCCTAGAAATATCACCAGTGGAGGGGGCTGGATTGGGTCTTCAAGAGTGGGAAGTAATGGGAGAACATTTTAGAAGAAGAAAAATGACTTGAGTATCACAGGGATTTATTTGGGGGGAAGTGAAGAGAACAGTTTGCAACACTGTGACAATAACAGCAGCTAACATTTAGTGAGTGTTTACTGCGTGTGTCAAGTACTTTATAATATTATTGGATTCATTTCTGCCAACCTTTAAGAGGCACTATTACCTTGATGTTATGACTATGAAACCAAGAATCAGGGAAGTTAAGTAACATACCCAAGATCATACAGCTAACAAGTAGTAGAGTTGAGATTTTAATCTAGGTTCCTCCCACTCCCAAGCATGAACTGTTAACCAAAAGAATATTTGAGCGCACTAACATGAGGCAAAGAATTAAGAGATTTCCAGTGAGGATACAGTCAAAAACTCAGAGCTGCCTAGAATTCTCTGAAGAAAAGAAGTATAGGTTAAGAAAAAAAGAACAGCTGAATGTCCTTATTTAGTATAGGAAAGTAGGAAGAAGGACCCTCAAACAAGAAGAGTAGAAGAATCAGATAAAGGTAAAGAACACCAAGACAGAGTACACTGTGGAAGTCAGAATAAGATACAGTTTCAGGAAGGCTCAACCACACAATCAAATATGCCCAAAACTAAAAACAGAAAAAAGTTGGGGCACTTGGCTGGGTCAGTTGGTAGAGCATGACTCTTGATCCTGGGGTTGTGAGTTCAAGCCCCAGCTTGAGTACATTACTTAAAAAAATAAAATCTTAAAACACACACACACACACACACACACACACACAAAAGGAAACAAACAGAAAAAAGTTGATAAAAGATAGTTGAATTTGGTATTCTTACCATTAGACTGAGAATGGAAAATTAAGCCACTGTAAAGGAAGACAAAAAAATTTCATATAAAAGGACTAAAATAATGCCTAGGCTCAAAAGAAAAGCAAAAAGTTCATAAGTTAGTTTGCAGAAACATGTTAAGTATGAAATAATTTTTATTAACAGATACAGGGGTGGGAGAGCCAAAAGAGAAAAAAAATACAAATACATCAATGGACTACCGTAACAGTTTTTAACTCTAGGAATTGTAATGATCTTTCGTAAAAATAGATTTTAAACTCAAAAAGCAAGCTATTTTTACTCCTCTGATTGCTATACAGAATCCATAAATTCACAAGTAGTCCTAACCTGGCTTGCTGCTTGCTTTCATACCCTTTAAGGTAGCTGGTGGTGTTGGGAGGATCTTTGCAGGTGTATAAGTATTTAAAGTTATTTTTCTTCTCATTACTGGACTGGAACGTGAAGCTGCAGAGGCTGAAAGAAAAAAAAAACACAACAGATATGGCAGTTCAGTAATTTCCTGCCAAGTCTTTACATTTTAGAAGTTTCTAATGACATATTTAGTGGACTTATGAATACACATTACAGGAAAAAATAAACAACGTAAGGTTTAGAGAGTAAATTCAGCAAAATCATCTTTCCTATAAAAAGTTCTCTCATGCTCTTAGCCAAATAGATGTTTTGTTTCTACTGTAAATAATAAGCATTTAACAGTATTTACTAAAGGTATGCCAAGGGGCATCTGGGTGACTCAGTTGGTTGGGCGGCTGCCTTCAGCTCCGGTCATGGTCCTGGAGTACTGGGATCAAGTCCCACACAGGGCTCCCAGCTCCATGGGGAGTCTGCTTCTCCCTCTGACCTACTCCTCTCTCACGTTCTCTCTCACTGTCTCTCTCTCAAATAAATAAATAAAAATCTTTAAAGGTGTGCCAACAAGAATAGAGCGAAAGACATAATTTTATCCTGCCCTGATAGAAACTCAGATTCTTAAGGGATGGCGGAGAGCTTATGACACTTTTATTGCCTGATTAAAAAAAAAAGACAGGGTGCCAAATTGTTTTCCCTTAAAAATATGAGGTGGAGATTAAGGGATAGTTAATTCATGAACACTATGGTCTATTAAACTATTCTGGTTAAGAATAAATTAATATGATTATAAGTAATAAATCAAATTGTCTTCCTCTATTACCTAATTGAGATTTATCTTAATGCAAGGGAATTTTAAAGATTTTTTTTTCTTTCTAATCAAGGTGGGGCAATTAAGAGGTGTAAAAAGGAAAAGTAGGGATAATTCTTAAGTATAAGCTTCTCTGGGGAAGGATAGGCCAGAGGTGGTTAGCTACTGGGATGAGCTTCTGAGTTCCCAACCAAAAGGAGGCAGAGAGTTAACAAAATACAGATTTGCCTGTTTTTGTGATTTTGGGGGGGAGGACCTGATAGCAATAAACAGCATGTCTCTGAAAAATATGTGGGCCAATTACACCAAGTGTGCCTTAGATGGCTGATATCTATCTACACTGAATGAATATAAATCCCACTGGTGGAAGCTCCACGTAGTCATTAATGACATAATACACAAATGAAGAAAAAATCCTTAAAGTACTATGTAAAGCACTACATTGCTACCAAGCTCTTTCCCGCTTGCATATTTTCATCCTGTTAACTTCCTTCTTTAACTTATCCAATTAGCATTTCCACACCTCCTCCCCATCATGGGTTAGTGTCCCATTTTAAGCTATCTACTAGTTAGCCCAAAATTAAATTTGTCCTAAGTGAGGAAAATGACTTTCTGAGTGACAGAGGATTAACAATGTCAGCTTCTTTATTATAAACAGCACAAAATCAATATAGTCTACATCATGATACAAATTCCTTGACAGTTCAGGGAATTAAGTATAAGTAATGTAAATATACTGTGATTACTATTAATTCTGCAGTTACAGTATAAAATACTAAATAAAAAAAGTCAGTCAGATAACTTTTATTTTAATTGGCATCTATTTTCTTTACTATTCAAAAAGAATGAAAAAACCATATACTTTAGAAGACCTGGGTTTTAGTCTTGCTTGACCACTAACTGCTTGATTTCCTCAATGGTATTCTAAGTTTTTTTCTTTAAACAGTAAATTTTTCCCAAATGAAATCTTAAACAAAATGGATGAAAAGAGATACTCTGGTTGAAGCAGCCATGCAAGACATAAGGCCTAACCATTCAGCATCATTGTCCTCATAGAATTTCCAAAAGCTCTTGGGAATACAGACTGAAGACCAAAGAACCAGATGGACTCTAAGGTTTATCCAATTCTATGAACTGTGTTAACTGTATTTACGTTCTCCTCTAGTTCCCTTAGTAAGCAACGGCAGGAAATTTTAAGAGAGCTACAGGTTGGGGTACAACTTGTATCCATGATACAGAGAAGAGCTAATCTGAACTGGAAAAGGAATTTGATATCCTTCTTTTCATTAATATACCTCAATAATATACTCTGATGAACTGAATTCACTAACCCCAGAAATAAAGCCAACATAATATAACAGCATCACAGAAATGAATGTACCTTCAAAGATGATCCTTTTGTAAATATTCCACAATTCTCTTTCCAAAAAAACCCAGAAGTCATTATTGCTATTTTCCTTAAGTCATTCACTGAAAATCTTCTAAAGTCTAAATAGCATTGATATCTATCCTAAGTTCTAATTTAATAATCAGAATCTTTCTTTCATCTCTATTTTAAGATCATAAATCCTTAGCCCAGGGAAGAAGTGAAACATCAAGAATAAAGAGGGTAAAGGGTAAATGAGAATTCATTCAGGTTCTCTACTGCAATCTGAGGAAAAGCACTGTCCATTCTATCAGCTAACAGAGAAGAAAGGCATCTGAACATGCTTTGTTTTCCTAACTTTGATTTCACGGAGCTTGGAGAAGTTATTTCATTTGCAGTATTATTAGTTCCCAGAATCAGAAAAATTCATATGAAAACTCTGAAATTAAAACCTACTTCCTAAAACCATTTCTAAAAGTATTTTAGAATGCCCTGATATCTCTCCATTATCATTAATGATTCAATGTTGACCTCTACTACCGGAAATGGAAGAAAAGGGAAGCCCACTATATTGCAGAAATGCAGGGGGCACCACTCAGACAGAATACAATGTGAACAGAACTCTCTAGAATAATACAGTGTGGTAGCCAGAGAAGAGAACCCAGCAACACATGAAAGTGGCTTTCATTCCAAGTCCTCCCGCTTCATTCTTCAGAGAAACAGATTTACAGTATGCAACTTATGAAAAGGAGAAAGGTATACATTGAAAGTCTGTGACTTTCCAAAGATATGATTAACCCCAGCAAGATTCTTAACAGAGCAGAGCATGCTCTCCCCAAACTGTATGCTTCTTAAACTAGAAGTTCCAACATGCTGACGGATCCTATAGAGCTCAGAATGACAGCAGTCAACTGACTTCTCACACCAAAAAGGTAGCTCTACAGGTTTCCCAAAATGATGTCCCTTACAACAGTGCTAAAGAATGTGTCACCAAAAATGTGTTTTTACAAAAAATAAGTTTTGGAAAATCTAGGTATACAGCTTTCCTGACAGAAGAATCTTAGCTATTTCTACACAAATGTAACTCTATCTCTCTAAAGGGAGGGGGAATATAATAAACAGTTTCCAAACCTTCCTGAGCCATCAATCCCTTTTCTCCATACAATGAATGAACGTTTTCAGAATATTTTCTGAAGAATGTAACTTGAAAACCCTTCTGTCCTAATCTGTTCTCTTTAGTCAAGAGTGCCTTCTCGGTCAGTATGACTAATCAAAGGTGTTGTGGGGATGGGCATGTGTGCCTGTGTAGGTTAATGACAAATGATATTTTGTAATTTTTAAAAAAGCTTATTATAAAATGACACACGATAAGGATGTGAAAAAAAAAAAAAAAGACCATGACTCTATACTATTGACTTCTATTGCTGGGTCTTATTTTTTTTTTTAATATTTATTTATTTATTTGACAGAGATCACAAGTAGGCAGAGAAGCAGGCAGAGAGAGAGGAGGAAGCAGGCTCCCTGCTGAGCAGAGAGCCCTATGCGGGGCTCGATCCCAAGACCCTGGGATCATGACCTGAGCTGAAGGCAGAGGCTTAACCCACTGAGCCACCCAGGCACCCCTATTGCTGGATCTTAGATTTTTTTCTTTTTCCTTTCTGGAAGGAGAAAGATTTTTGGGAGGAGTCACGAAAAGCACCACACTGCATAGTAATTATGCTAAAGAATTCCAAATAATCTTCCGGTATACCCCCTTTTCTCCTAAAATTCTATTCACTACCACTACTTGAGTTTGTTATTATATTTCTTTTTATATTCAGATAATATCTACTGCCACAAAATGATATAATAATAATAATAATAATAAAATAATAATTTTCCTACAAATTTCAGGGGTCTTCCTTGGAACTTCACTTGATGGAGAAGCAATGGAAGCAAGAAATTCATCCACCTGCTTTAAAGACAGGGCATTGTGAAGAGTTTCTAGAGGACAAATAGATGGCACCATGGAATACAATTCAAAGCCTGAAAAAAAGAAAGAAAAAAATTTGGATATTTAAAAAAATCATTACATATGAAGGAAGACAACGACTGCTTAGAACTATGCGGGTTAGGTCTTTCCAATATATCACATGCAAACACATGAGATCTCTGAAGTCATGACGCCAGATGCTATGCGATATGGGATTGGAACAAGATGTGACAAAGATTTCATTTCAAATGTAATCACATAGTATAGCATGCACACAATTTCATTCTATATTTTGGTAAAATCTGAGAATGATACTTAAAACCTGGGGGTGGGGAGAAGCAGAAAACATTATATTGTTTCAGTTTTTACTTTAAAATTTCAGGTCTACTTGAAAGGTGAGTAAGTTGATGCCATGATGTGTCCCTGATGCCAGAATGCTAAAATTAACCTCTTACTGAAGAATAATTATGTTGTAATTACTTGTGAAGAGTGATTTAAATTAGCTCTTCTAGTCATACCAAGGCCAATGACTCTCTAGTGTGACCTGTAAACAACATTCATTCATTTATGCTGAAAATGAAATTTTAAAACATTTACCTACCTTTTTGAATTAACTCAATAATGCTATTGTTGAAATTGCTAGTCGAGTAAAGTCAAGCCAAGTAAAAAGCAATACAAAATACAGACATGTTTGCATTCAACAATGGCACAGAAATACAAAAATTCCATGAAACAAATCATGCACATATATATTATTAATACCATCAGTGAAATAAAAATGCTTAAATACAGTTTTTTAAAAATAAGTAGGATATAGGTTATTTGTTTTTTATATGAATAGCCTGTTCATTTAAACTTTATTCAACCGAATGGCTTTTAAAATTGCTTTCATATACAACTGAAATAATAGGTCCCTCTGCAGCTATTCTTTGCAAAATTCGAACTAATTTTCCTCCAAAGGAAATACTTTTAACACTTAGATTAAGATTTTCTATAAAGGCTAATATGATTAAATAAAAATTAAAAATCAAACTCAAATAGACTGCAAAACTCTCCGCTTCAATAGGCATGTGCTCATTTTACTTGGCTGATTGTTTACTTAATTTGGGGAGGAAAGAGTGACCCGAGAACTGCCTAAGTCTTGGCTGAAGTAGGGAAAGTATGGTTAAAAGAGAATCGAGTCTTCCTATGAAAATAACAAAAAGGTTTATAAAACCGGTTTGTTTGATTTTTCAGGTGCAAACCAAAGCATGACGTAACATTACATATACTCAAAAACAAAACAAAACAGAATACCGTAACAGCAGTTAAAGCACCTAAATTAAGCACTAAAAAATTTAGGTTTGCACAAGTATTATGTTTTTTAAAGTAGAGGATACATGCAAATACACGCAAACCCTTTCTTGGCATTACACGAAACTTAACAATGTGCTTTTTTTCCTCCTCTCCTCAGAATGTTTTGTAAGTGTTTTGTAACAACTACTTCCTTGCATTTGCCTGTTAGATTTCCTAACAGGCAAATAACAATACAGTAAGTTCCTCTGGTGACATATTTCCCCACTTATCTTTAGTAAACTTTGCATTTAATGCACAAGGAAAGGGTTAGCGCAGCAATTTAAAAAGCCACCCTGCTGTCATGTTTAGAAGCTATGAAAACATACCACTGGAGCCTAGACATTCCACAGAGGAAACGGACCAGCACCTATAGAGGTGTAGGTGTTCTGCACAGAGGCCCAGAAAATAAGGTAAAGCACTGTCAGAAGATACTTGTTTCACCATGTTCCTTGAACTAAAGATGAAGGGAGGGGTAAGTCCATGATATGTATTAAGATGGAAAGAACATAAAAGTGAGGGGAAATAAAAAGTGAAAAGAGTCAAATGACAATTCATAGGACAGATAAGACAACACAGTATAAAAAAGAAAACCAAAAAAAAAAAAGAATCTTGAAAACCCGAAAGAAACATTTCTAGAGTTGAAAGGAATTCATTTTACATGCATTAAGTCACACATGTGGATAACCCACATGTGTGGATCTTAGCCAAAGTCTCGGCCAAAGGAATACAAAGTTACTCTAGTTTCTGCTAAATTTCACAAACTTTTTTTTAAAGCTTCAGTAAACACAGATTCCTCCTATAAAAAAAACTTGCAATACTGGCTAATAAATACATAAGCAGTCTGCACAAAAACTACAGTCAGTCTTAAACCTGCAATGTCTCTTCTTAGGATTTTGTGACTTCTGTGTTTCTTGTGACTTCGGTTTTTCTTCTAAGAGGTTCTTACGCATGTGGGTTCTTTAGAAGCTGCAGCTGTATCAAATAAGGATCTTTTTCTTCAGAAAGTAGCATTTAAAGAGCTACAAGGGAGGGAAAGCACATTAGGCTTTAAGGCCAAATTTTCTCTTGTTTGAGGATGAGATCTTCTTACTCCACCTCCAGGAGTGCACTGTTACTTAAGTGTGCTGTTAAAAGGATCCGGACAGGCAAGAGTAACTATAAGCTGTGTTTAACCCTTTTGTTTCATAGAAGTTTTTGAAAGACCTGACTCGAGTTTTTGAAAGATTTATTTGCAGTTAAAAAGAAAAAAAAAAAAAAAATTCCAGGGGATCAAAGCAACTTCATTCCGAAGAAAAGCAAAAATATGTATGTTTTCCTTTAAATTCTTTGATCCTCAGTTATTTAAAATGATCAGTAAATAATCCCTTTTGTCCCAGAAGAACAAGCTCTGTGTAAGAAAGCAGTAGTAGTGCAAGGATTCAGTTTATCAACAATGGGCACGAAACACTTTATTGTTAGCCTCAGAAATGGAATTGTATTGAATTAGCTTTCTAGATTTTCAGCTTAGTCTTCTTCCTATCGTGAGTTCTCCAAATTTTAGCAAAAAACAGTGGTACCAAAAAAAAAACAAAAAACAAAAAGCAAAAAACACCAAAACTGATTGCTTCACCAGAGCAAACCATATTGCCATATGAGAACAAAGTGAGGGCTAGATGAAGTTTTCAGACTGCTCCAGACCAAACGGAGTTTTGCTTTAGACAAAGAGCCACAGATAAATGATGTTACACAGTGAAATCTGCATCTCCTAGTTCCCAAGAACTTTTCAAAGACACATCTCATTTGGCTATTTGACAAGTGTGTCTCTGTATTTCTATTAAGTAACTAAATAAAACAATCACGTGATCAGAAAACAAATTAGGGAAAAAAATTAAAATGATTAAGAAAAAGAAAACAGAATATGAATTGTATTTTTAAAATTTGTGTAGACTGATCACTTGAGAAATTAGAAGGGATTTTTAGGTGCTAATTTAGTATTAAAACTCATCATCATCGTGGTCATTTAAAAGTTTGATGAGTGATGTTAAGTGATTATGTAAATTACAGCTGAAAAGGGGAGCTAGACAGTATCAATGCTTCAGGTGAGTAAGTTGGAATTATATGCCAACTGAAATTAAGAATGGAGAAATGAATGATACTGTATACCCCACAGTTTGAAATAAAAGAAAAATAAAAAAGGATGAAGCAGGGGAATATCTTTTAAAATAAAAGCAAAACGTACCATTGGTTGGGTGTCGAGCAAATGAGATAGAAAACCTTTTAACAGCAGAACCGCGTGTGGCGTCTGAGAAAGAGAAAAACAGGTACCTGAAATTCATAACAGCTACCAAAAGAAGAACACTTAAAAAAAGAGGGAAAAAACAAATATATAAGAAGGTTAGAATTAGGTGACATGCAGAAGGGAATGAGAGAGGGTACTGGTTAAAATTAAAATGGCTTGATGATAGAGGCAAAGTGTTTAATGAAATATACAAAAGAAAGAAAAGCGGGATGAGCCAGCAATTCTGGTAAATCTATGTTTTACTGACTTAAGTAAATTTGTGAATATATGAGAAAACATTTTAAATAAAGTTAATCCTGAAAGGGCTAATAAACATTCCTATTAACAGGCACGAGCTTCCACGAGCCTCAAAAGACAATCTGAATATTAACACTTAAGATATTTTAACAAGAGTGAGGCTCTCCAACTAGGGATTCTAAAATATTCTCATCCTATGTTTATTTTATAAAAGTATTGCCAAAATATTTTCTTCTACTTATAAACATTATGTTTACTTTATTTCATTTAGATCACTGTCAGTAAGTAAAATGAGGGATAACAATGAACAAAAGTTTAAAAAGATCAGAGAAAGACTTATTCTTTATAATATGGCTTACTTACTGTCCATAAGACCAATACATATATATGATGCAGTTCTAAATTTCACATTTCAACAAACTAGTCAATGAATAAGTACTGTGTGTCTAACTACAATTAACTCTGATGAAACACGGATCCAAGCTATGGACAAGAAAGCGGTGATTGTCATTTAGGTGCTAGGTGTCATCAAAGGGAGCTATGATTCCAGTTGAATCAGTCAGTGGACTTAGGCTTGCCTTCGAGAAGTACTGCATGTTTATGGGTGTGTGCGTGGGTGTGCATATGAATCTGTGTGTGCATATGTGCACATACCATCTATGCAGCCAGAAGAAGTCAGCTTTTTACGATGAGTACGAGCATAATCCTGTAGGTTAGGTGCGCTTGAAGAACCCCCGAGCACCGAGGTGCTAAACAGGCCCGCACAGTGAGACCCTGATGGGAGTTAGAGAAAATACATACACAACGGGTGTTCTTCCATTCACAATGGGAATTCATGCAGCATGCAATAACATGGCTCTTACCACACTTATCTGGCAGTGCCTTCAATAGACTCACAATTCACTTGTAATGTCAACTTTAATATAATCACCACCACCATTTATCATATGTACAAATGAAGATATTTAACACTGGATAAAATGTTGCCTTTGAGGAAAATAATATACCTATACCATAACTAGACATATACATATTAAAAGTACTAAAAATACTACCACAGGAATTAATTTAGGTTGATAAGGGATTCTGTCAGTTTGCATGAGCAGTTCATATAAAAAACCTCTCCTAGCACAAATCTAGTCATAACAGATCAGTATTTTTTAATGTATGTCTATAAATGAAGAATCTTTTCTGATATCCCTGAGTTAAGAATTATCAGTATATGTTACAAAATAAAGCAAATTATTAATCTGTGAGAAGACCATGTGAGAACAATTCCTTGTAGGTCATCCAGGACTAAATCACCTTAAGTTTCTAATACTTAAATGACTTCAGATCTTAATTAATAAGACCCCATGAAACACATTATTAGCAAATAAAACATAGCCAGTATAAACTGATGTTTAATTTGTAGCAAAGATCTTTATACCCAAGGAAAACTTTCACCACTTGGTAAAGTTTAAAAAAATTTCTATCAAATACATTATGATACATAAAGTAAGATAATGTGGGAATATTAGAAGCTATCAACATTAGCTGTGTGTAATTAACTAAAGAAGATCCTCAAGTAAATAGTCATCAACAAACAGTTCATATACTTAGTATGTAGATCAAAGTACATAAAAGTTGAACCTTATTCATGCTTTATTAAGCCTATTTAGACAACTATTTATAGAGAAAATACTATGCCATTACCTCATATCGTTCACCAACAATGAGCTTAAAACTAGTAAGTTTAGAAAGGTCCTTTTCAATGTTGCTTTGCAACTCTATTTGCAAAGAACTAGTTACGTTCCATAGGTCAATAATGAATAACAACTGCACTTATGCATTAGTTTTGCTTTGGTTTTCCTTAGGAGATAATCAAAAGGAAAATCAATACACCGAGAAAGGGTTTAAAACACTCCCCACTTAAAATTTTTTTTTAATCAGAAAAGAAGTTTCTTTTTCTTTTTAGTAGAAGGTTCTTTTTTGTTTGCAATAGCATATATACAATTTTATCAACTGGGAAAAATGAAGTTTCCTTCATAAATTAAAACATTTTGGGGTTTTAATTTATAGAATACAAGATTAAAAACTAGCATTGGCAACTGGACTAAGTAGTTCCACACTGCAGGCAGTCAAAACAGTTATAAATCAAATTAAATGCTATTCCTCGTTCATTTTATTGAAACTTTACTGTATACTTTGAGTCGTACAATATTTTTTAATTAGTATGTGTTAAATTAAAACTAAAGCATAGCATTTGGTCATGCTTTCATCACTGAAGTTTTACATATGTGCAAAAGAGGGAATTGAAGAAGGTTTGGAATATAATTTCCCTTTAGACCACATACCTACAGTAGGGTTCTGCTTCTGTTCCACAAGAGTTCTTGGTGTTCGCAGGTAATTAGCATTTTCAGATACAACCTGTACAAGGAAAGCAAAATAAATGAGGTAAAACAGTAAAATCATTTAAAAAGTCCATACTTCATTTGAAGCCTGTTCCAGACAGACAAAGGTTAATAAGCTGTATGATAAATATTAGTAGAAATACATAAAACATGAAAGATCATGCAAGATCCCCTTCTGAAGGGAGTCCATTTCATATGAAGTCCTTGCAATGAAGTGGTGCGAAGCAGGCATTCAGAATGAAATATCATGTATGAAACAAGACAGATGAAAAGAAACAATTAATAGATTGATATAATTTCACTCTTAAAAGAAGCCAAATGCCCACTCTTACACAGCTCCTGTATTTGAAGGGGGGAAAAACAATCACAAACAAAAGAAAAGACAGACAGAGACTGTTGAGGTCACCATACAATTACTGATCCATGCACGGGCTTTATCAGAGTAACCTTTAAATATTCACAGCCTTAACGGATACCATAATCCCTTTTCCTATAATCAAATGCATTATATTTCCAAAAGGAAGTTGCTGAAATTCTTGGGAAAGTCATGTGTAACAGCAGACCTTCCATTCTTAAAGCAAAAAAAAAAAAAAAAAAAAAAAAAGGCAAAAAAATTCTATTATTTTAAATTTCCAAATGTCATCACAGAAAGTCCTTCTGAAGTCCTTTTATTTTGGCCCATATTACTAATGGGTACCTATATATTGCATCTTCATATAAAGAGAGCATTAAAATATTATACAACTCAAAAAAACCCCACACTGTATGTATCCTTTAGATACTTCCAGATAATGGAATAGTGAGGGAGAGAATAATTAATATTAGGTATACCCTGCTAATTAACACAGGACCACGTAAATTTTGATAGTTTAAAAAATGTTCATACTCTCAGCAAATTCCAAATGGAATCTAATTTTTCAATTATGGGGGGGAGGTCATTAAATTTTCTTACCATCAAATTACGTAATTTTGTTTCTGAATGTTTTGAAGGACAACTATGCCAAAAAAGACTTCTTTCCTTTTTAAAATTTTTTATTAACACACTAAAGTTCCAGGAATATAAAATTTATTGATTAATTTTTAAATCCTGGATATTTAAAATCCTCCCAATAAAAATCCTAAACGCATGCAATGTAAGAGGTTTCTTTCTCTCAAATATTGTCAGGTATCACAAGCTTATTTTTAAATGAACGGAAAATTAAAATACAGAAGGATTTACTCTGATGTTAAATATAAGGGATTAGATGTCCTCAAAGACAGCTGTTTGTTGCTCTGAATGCGGGTAGGAAATGTTTAATGAAGTAAAGTTTAAAAACCTGTTGCCATGAGCCAAAAATACTGGATGTGAAAGCCAATGATTTGGGGGAGACAGGGGAAGAAGTGATTTGTTCCCCTGATCTGCGTCTTCGACGCCCAGTACCCACACCACTGGTATAATGCAGCCAGGTACCAGTACCCTCTGGGCTAGACACACTCAGGGGGCTCTCTTCCTGGAAGTGAGAAAGGGGGCAAAGAAAAAAAAAAAAAAAAAAAAAAAAGCAGAGCATGCAAAGTTAGATACAACAGAGCCAAATGATCAGAAAGAAAAAAAAATACAGTTTGTTCGCATTTATCAATTTTTTTAAAAAAAACTATTAAACAGTAATTTGGGAGCCAAATATTTCAAATATTTGAGAAATCCATGGGAAAGAGTTAGAAATCTAATTGTATGTGATAACAATTAGAGGAATTACCTTATCTTCAAAATACGAAATATTTATACTGCTTAATAGTTGTCACTTTTCTCTTAAAACTGGAAAGATTTAACAATTTTCTGTCTTAGCAACTTTTAAAGTATAAAAGTATTCTGCTTAATTTTAAATATTCAAGACATTCTGTGCTATACTGGGTAACCTTCTAGCCCAAAGCACTAAAGAATTGTGCAAAGGGTTACAGAAGTTTCAATGTATATGATGTAAAAAAGAAAATCTATCTGCCAGACACTTTAAAAAAGAGAGGTAAAATGGATTCAAATTGCACTTGTTTCCACTTTCAAGCTATTTTGTTTACCCCCTCCAAAGATTATTTATAGAGTTCAGTAAGCAAAACATGCAGCAAACATCATCATTTACATGTTTGCATGTTCAGGTTTCAGACAGTGAGGACAGAGTAAAATCTACTTGCACAAAATGAAGAGAATAGTCTTTTTCTCTGTGTGTCTTTTGGAAGTACAAACTTCTGATATCCATGGAGATGGTGGACGCTGGAAAAAGTCTTCAAGGTTTTACTTGAATAATTTACCTTATGGAAGTAAAAGTTTAGCATGGCATAGAAATAATCTCTTGAAAGCAATTATTTAAGTATTTATGAGAAAAAAGGTTTATAAATGTGCTCTGCGTCTTAAGATTAACAAAGGGCAGTGATTCTGTTGAAGATTTTACAAATACAAATGTGTTGCAAAATGAAGATTCACAACACATTTGGCTTTATCAGTGTTACAAGCTTTCTGGAGTACAGAAGGTTTAATGGTAAAATTTTGAACAATCTGATTAATGTGCAGATTGCTTTGTTCAACAACATCAAAATCACTGCCCTCACACAGATGTTTAAGTTATATTAATATGTCATTTTCCAATTTTCTGAAATTAAAGATACCTGAACATAGTCCCAGGTTTCTTATTTTTAAATTAAGCTATACTAGAACACAGTCCCAAATTCTACAGCTCTTAGTCATTGTCTTTAATAATTAACTTAAAATATCACAATCCCTACAGAAACCCTAAGTAGTATACAATTTCCATTATAAAATTACCACAATCTACTTATTGATGGATGTTTTTCCTATACATAATTGTCAAATTATTTTATTTGAAATTTGAGAATCATGAAGCACTCCTGTTTGTATAATTTGGGGCAACAGAAATGAGCATAATTCTGTTTTGTTGTTATTTATGTTCTTACTCACCAACTGCTAGTTAAATGTTATATTTAACTCTCATGACTTGGCATATGTCAATATCAACAAAGATATTTTTCTAACTTAAAAGTTGAAGGTGGGGGGCTTCTGGGTGGCTCAGTGGGTTAAAGCCTCTGCCTTCGGCTCAGGTCATGATCCCAGGGTCCTGGGATCGAGCCCCGCATCGGGCTCTCTGCTCCGCGGGGAGCCTGCTTTCTCCTCTCTCTCTCTCTCTGCCTGCCCCTCTGCCTGTGATCTCTTGTCTGTCAAATAAATAAATAAAATCTTTAAAAAAAAAAAAAAAAAGTTGAAGGTGGTTTCTATCTTAAAATCTTGCTCCGTACTTTCACTTGAGCATTTAGAAAACATTTATAAGCACTAATCTCAATCAGTGCTGGGAGAATCAACCTATAGGGAATATAGATAACCCAAAATAAAGGTTTTTGAATTATAAAAAATGCATAGTGATGTCAAAGATTTACTTAACAAGCTACATTCCAACTGTTCAGCTTTCCTGTTAAATCTTATTTTAGTAGTTATTTAAATGTCATTCTATTAGAGAATATAAGAATTAGCCTTATTTAATTATAGACCTTAATACAAAAGGTAACATTTTCAACTATCTCCTCAAATTTTCAAATTCCTATACTGATTTGTGCAACCAGGCTAACAACTTAGAATTTCATACTTAATTTACAGTGTCATTGGAATCAGTTGTTGTCAAGGCATTTCTGGTAGTTCCTCTCTACTTTCAGGCGAAAATTATTCTCTGCCTATTAAATCAGACTTTTAAAAAAGTTCTCTATTAGAATAATCTAACGTGACAGAAGAAAAAAATAGATGAGTTTTTAGAAAGGTCTTATTTTACTATGTCTACTCAACTTTGTTAGGAAAACAATACATAAAGCTCCAGATTCTTAAAGCTTTTTCTCTTTTTTAACGGCCTCTCTATTTTTAAAATATTAGAGAAAGAGGCAAAGTTAACAATTAAAAATCTGTTAGGTTCCCAAGCTCCATAATTAAAGCTGTATTTTCTTTTCTGTTTTATTAAAATATAGTTAGTTTGTTTTATGAAAAACATGCTCTGACACATATACTTACTTCATTTGTAGGAATCTTCCTAGATCTTGGAAGTGGAGACTTCCTGTGTATATGAATTGGCTCTGATACCATAGGTTTGAACAGTATCACAGCACGATCAGTCTCATCTTTTTTAGAAGTATGTGGTTCATCATCATTATCAATTTTAAAAGATCTCCTGCCTTCATTCTGTGAGCAAAGAATACAACATACAAAATTCAGATAAAGCAAGTGTCTCTTATGATAAATTCAACCACCAGCTGGTGAAGTTAGTTGAGGCACATATATAAGTTTGCTGATTCAAATGAATCAGTATTAACTGAGTTTTTACAACAGCCTAATATTAATCTGGATATCATAAGACAGATGACAGAGTTCCTGACTTTAAGAAATACACAATGGAAAAATTAAACAATAAGTGACAATACAAAGTGCCACACAAAACCAACTGTTTAATTATATTTCATCAAATGTCAACATAAATAAGAAATAATAATAAGTAACAGTAGTAAAGAACAGAGATCAGTTTTATCATACGGGAATATCATCAGCATAAGCACAAACTAAAACAGCATTTTAATTTATAAATTTCAGAATATTTAAATTATGTTCCAGATAGTCCCAACACATGTGATGATTGCATAAATAATCATATGATGACTTACTAAATATTTACTGGGTGTGTACCATGCGTCAGGACACAGATGAATAAAATAGAGTCCCAGATAAAAGATAAATTAAAAACAACTTACACCAAATATCTATCTGTAATAGAAAGGGTAACTTGGGGCATAGTCATACATATAGTAACACATGTTTTAAAGCAATAGCAATGAACATACTAAAACTAAATACAATTACATTCAACAAATCTCACAAACATAACATTAGTCAAAAGAAGTCAGGCACAAGTACATAAAATCCATCATCAAACTAAGGAGTATAGGAAATAAAGAACTTCTTTAACTGGTTAAGAGATATCTAAAATCTTGATAACAATCATCACAGTTAATAAATCATTGAAATATTAGTGTGGCCACCATTATTAAATCTACTCAACACCATATTGGACATTTGTCATCATTCATAGATATGATCATATCTATAGAAAGTAGATATGATCTATTTTATATATATTATATATATATTTATATATATTATCATGGATAAATTATTAGAATTAATAACAGCATGTTAATAAGACTGTTATAAAATTTTCATACACAACTGAGTTAAAATTTACTATTCACTAAAACAAACAAAATGAAATTTAAATAAACCATGTATGATAGCATAAAAATATAAAGAACAAGGAATTAATGTGACAAAGAAGATACAAGACATAAAAACCCTTAATTTTACAAAAAAGATACAAAAACAGCTAAATAAATTCAGAGCTATATCAACTCCTTGGACTAGAGGATCTACTAATGTAAGTTTATTGCCCTCAAAATTGATCTGCAGAATTTATGTAATCTCGACCAAAATCCCAAAAAGTTCTCTTTGGAACATTACTTTTTACTTTAGTTTGAGAATAAAGAAGCATTTATTTTTTTATTTTATTTTTTGGGGGAGAGGGGCAAAGAGAGAATCTTAAGCAGCCTCCACAACCAGCCTAGAGCCGGACTTGGGCTCACTCTCACAACCTTAAGCTCATGACCTGAGCTGAAATCAAGAATCAGATGCTTAACTGACTGAGCCACCCATGGGCACTGTGAGTGAAGTGTTTAATAGCAACACTTCTATTCAACACCATGCTGTTCTAAGCCAGTAGTTCTTCATAAAAAACATATCCAAATGGCCAATAAACATATGAAAATTGCTAATCCTTACTGGTCATGAGGATAATGTAAAATTAAACCATGACAAGATATCACTGTATAGCCTTCAAAATAGCTACATTAAAAACAATGACCATACCAAGTGCTGACAAGGGTATGGCAGTATCTTTAGAAAACTATTTGATTGTATTTCTTAAACTTGAACATATATACCCTATGACCTAGCAATTTTACTCCTCGATGTATATCCAAAAGAAATGTGTACATATGTTCACCAAAAGACTTGTACAAAAATGTTCATGGAAGCAACTTCATAGCTTGAACTGGAAACAAATAAATGATCAAAGTAGAAGAGATGAACACATTGCACTATATTTATTTATCTTTATTATTGCCATGTAATCCATGTAAAAATGAAGAAGAGAACAGATATATTTCATAAACATAATGAAAGAAAGAAGCCAAACCCACTCACGCTCCCCCAAAAGTGTATATTTTGCGATTTATAAAAAATTCAAAAATAGGCATAATTCAAACATGGTGCTAAAGTTCATAACAGTAGGTATCTTTGAGGAGAAGAAAGAGAGGTTGGATAGGGAGAGGGGCTACCAGGGGATTTTCGGAAATGATGATAATATGCTATGTATAACCTGCCTGGCTATTTTGTAATTGTGTTCATTCTGTAATACATCATTAAGCTAAATCATAAGTGTATGATTTATCAATATGAATTATAATTTAGTGATAAGTTTTAAATTGAATACATATTTAACTTTGTAAGGTTAGTGTAAGGATTAAAACAACAATAATTTGTACCAAGTGCTCATTAGCACAGTGTTTACCATGCACTAGACCTCAAGTAATACAACAACCAAAACTATAGTTAAGCATTCTAAATACTGGTCTTAAAAATACAAAAAATCTAAATAAAATATAAAAGTCTAGTATGCTTAGAAATGTTGTCTGCCCAAATCATACATAAATAAATTTATATCATCTTGCTACTTGGTAGTTGAGGTAAGAATTGAAATATATTAACAGGAAATTCTTACAGGAATCTTATGGAAATCTAGAACTAGAGTAACCAAACATTGCGAGTTTCATCTTTATTACCTCTCTTGAAGCTGGTCTATATCCATAGCCAGATGGTAAATTTTTGTCTTCTTCACATCCTTTAGCTCCTGGACTAAAATGTAATTCAACATGAAAGCGTTCCTCCGAGGAAAGATCCTAAAAAATATTATAGAACATTTCCAAAATGAAAAACTACAGTCTACTTATTTACCTCTGATAATAACATACAAATCAAGAACTCTTGTTACCTTGTTAGGATCCTCATAAAGCATGATCACAATCTGAGTCATGTAATTGAGTTCATTGACAACATTTAAGTAATCCATAGCTCGTTTCCACTGTTCATCCTTTGATTCCTGAACAAAAGGTATATAGTAAGCATTTTTCTCATACCACTTTACTTGAAAGTGACTTTATTTTCATTATGGTAGTTTGTTTAATCCTGAGTGATACCACACAAACAAGGTAAATACGTATATGCTCAACCTTTCAAAATAACTCAACTATACTTAAGTCTTGATAAATTACTTATGTTTAGCTAAAGTATTTTAAGAATCTCTTATCAGCAGTAATAGAAAGTCTAATGGTAACTTTTTAAATAGCTTCTAGAAAGTAAAAATAAAAATCTCTGAAATACAAAAGCACATTGTATTTTGAGGCTTAGTAAGGGGCAGCGAGTTGTTAAACTTAATTTCCAAAGTTTGGAATCACCCTTCATAAACAGAATACTATAAGAGTAGAGCTATTTTTCCCAGTATTATAGAGTCAATGTATGTAATCCGTGCTTATCAGTAAATATGCCTCATTATACTGCAGTAGTATTTAAAATAATCAGCAGGAGGTGGTATATTTACAAGTTCGATTAATCTTATCATCTCTTTCATCACTCCTCCATCTTCATTTAGGTAATCATTGGTATTTAAACATATAATCATATAGCATGAGAACTGAAAGAAATCCTAGAGAAAATGTACTACAAGCATTCGAAGTAGAAAATTCTATCTGAAAAGGCAAAACTACTCAAAGTACAAAGTCTACAGTCAATGCACAACAGGGTCTACATCATAGATAACTTTCCTTCATTTCATATGTCATAAACTTTAGAAATAAATGCATATAACAATTTTTTGCATACAGTAAGAGTATACAATATTTTGGACTTTAGAAGATTTCTGAGGTTTTAAAAAATGAAATTTGACACACAAAAGCCTAAACTTACAAGACCACATGTTGATCACTTATTTAAAAAAAAAACAAAATCCCAAACCAGCATGTATTCCTTTTCAAATTTAGACATTACACATCTCTGAGGAAGCATTCCCCTTTTGAAGTTTCTAGAAAAGTAAAATTAAATATACATCATATAATTTGTATTCTTCCATGTGTACTTAGCATCATTTTAATAAATGGATATCCACACCTCTAAATGCTCTAATGCAAAGCCATTAGGGAAGCTACTCCCAACCTAAACAACATTCCAGAGGAAAAAACTGAATCCATGTTTGTTTGCACGTGTCTGCTTGTGTATTTGTGGTAGGAATATATGCAAAGATGTATCTGCGTTTTTTTCAAAATTGGTAAGGGAGAATATTAGCATAGCATTTGAGTTTCACTAAATGTGAGTTACTATAAATAATGGATTTAAATTAAATACTAAAAATTTTCAGTAGGTAAAAAGATATATTAGAGTTTGTGATCCTATATTATTAATGAAAACACCATTTAATAATATCTAATTCAGTGTTTCAGTTATAGATTCTCCTAGGTCTAGTCTAATGAACATATGAAATTAAATAATATTTAGTAGCATCTTCCTGAACACAATTAACATGCAAGAATCTATAAAATATCTTTTTTAAATTAAGTCTTATTAAATACATTCCCTGAAATCTTACTTACAATCATGTTTCCTTAACAAACATCTTTTGAAAAAAATCCATTATGGAGAGCTAGATTTTACCCAGTTCACACTGAAAAAAATCAAAAATTTCAAGTGGGGAGAGACTGAACAAGGTTTTAAGATACCTCTTATAGGGCCTTATAAAGGTGACATGAACTTCAATAATGAATTACAGTTCAAATAAATTAATTTTTTATATTAGAAAATGGGACATCATAATGATATTAAAGATCCTACATGTATTTACTAACATGAAAAATAATTTTTTTGAAATCCTGGAAGCAGATTTTTAAAAGGATGGAGCTGTTCAGCTTTTGTTTCAAAAATGTAGCTGAATGCAATATATACTCAACAAGCTCTAATTCTACTACCACTACCCTAGTCCAAGTTATACCTTTCTTCAGGTCACTGCGAGAGAGCTTCCAAACTGGTTTTCTCACATGTACTCCAGACTATCTGCTGTCCACACAGCAACCAAAGCCATTTACTTCCCTGCTTAAAAATGCTTTCCCAATCCCCTTAGGATCATCAAGGCACTGGCTCCCAAACCTATCTGTTGCCATTTCATCCACTGCTCACTAAAATGCTCCACAGGCTTATCCTATTGGCTCCTGTATCTTCCATGCTTCTTCCACCTTCTAAATAAGTGTAAGAGTCAAAAAGGAACCACATAGGAGACATAGTTCTCCTCCCCCAAAACAAACAATTCCATCATTACTACTGGATAAATTAAGTTCCTTACTTGCTAATTAAGCATCATTTTTTTTTTTACAATTTCTTTTATCAAAGTTCAATAATGCATATATGCATGCAAGGGCTGTCACTTTGCTATTCCTTAGTGGGACAAAGAAGAAACTGAAATAAGAGGGAAGAACATAGGAATGAGAAAATTTGATGAGAACAGAGGACCAATAATTTTAGGATAACTTTAATATTAACTATTCATCAAGGCTAATAATAAAATTAAGAATCAAGAGACTAACAAGGGCGCCTGGGTGGCTCAGTGGGTTAAAGCCTCTGCCTTCGGTTCAGGTCATGATCCCAGGGTCCTCGGATCGAGCTCCGCATCGGGCTCTCTGCTCAGCAGGGAGCCTGCTTCCTCCCTCTCTCTCTGCCTGCCTCTCTGCCTACTTGTGATGTCTGTCAAATAAATAAATAAATAAATAAAACATTAAAAGAGAGAGAGACTAACAAATCTTCATTATATATCTAAATGTCCTTTATTAAAAAGGTAAAACAAAACTGAATTTTCTTTTAAGAACCACTTTGTTAACAGATGTGTATGGATGTGTACACCAATACTCAGAGAAAATTGAAGGAAAATTCTTATTTTTTGCAATTTTAGAGATGTATTTTGAAAATATATCTCTGTTATAGAAAATATAATAGAGTGAAATTGTTTCTAGGTAATCTATAGTTTGGGTGTACTGAGAAACAATATATTAAAATTTCTAAGTCTCGTTTGTACATTATCACTTTCACTGCCAATCCCTACAATGTCGTTTTATCATTTCAAATACAAACTCCCTGGGAACCTTATTACTAGCTACCACCTTAGCTGTCATTTGTATATTGGCTTCCTAACTCTGCACATTTAACCCAAACCTCTATCCTCACATATGAACATACTCAAGCTGTCTAAACCTAAACTCATTACTTTTCCTTCTGAAGACCTGATCTTCCTCCCAAGTGTTACTTTTATCAGTGAATGGTAGGATCATCTACCAAATTACCTACATTAGAGATATGGGAATCTTTCTTGATTCTCTCTTCTTTCTCACTCTCCATATGTGCGAGCACTGGAAGGGTCCTGAGGAGAGTGTTAGTGAAAGCCTAACAGGCTGGAGGAGGTTGTTGGTGAGGGATTATATAAAGGTAAGAAAAATGTTACTGGAAACTACAGGAAAATGAACTGCTATGTAGTGGCATAAAGTATAGAAAACACTAGCCTGTAGACAGTGGAAAATAAATAAGAAGTATTTCTAATGAACTAGTTTTGGAGACTTTTAGGACAAGTGCTAAACATGTCACCAAGATTCTTCTCACTACCTGTGATAGACTAGGAGAGAGATAAGCTACAAGTAAATTGTCTATTATAAAGAAGCTTGCTGGGTCCAAAAATAAAACTGTTTCTCATTCACAGCATTTTCAGGTACCAAATGATGCTGTAATTAACAAACTTTTGAGAAGAAAGGAAACACAAGACTGCTATAACGTAGTGCGATTATAAAAACACTTGCTAAGACCTCCAAAAGCTGTAATGAGGTGCTTCACATATCTTCCAAAGAAACGCACTTTCTCGGGATCCTAGGAGTATGTCTCTCACACGCTCAGTATTAAGCAACAAGGATCGCTGAGTGCCATCCCTTAGTAACCACATAGGGAACCCAAGGTAGGAAGGGCTATCCTTAAGAGATCTTTAGGTTTGACGTGTTTAATATAGTATATTCTAAATTATTCCATTTTGTTTTGTTTTTTTAAATTATACCACCTGAGCTAAAAATAAACATACCTTTGGAACCCCAAACTTCTCTGGGCAGGAAGCAGGTTGAAGAAAACTAGTCAACTGCAAACATGAGCTACTTTTTATTTTAAAGGAAGGATGACGCAGATGAAGCAATCAAGAACCCAAATTATGAAGCCATGAGCCACTGAAAACAACTTCTTGGCAGTACGACAGAGCCTTAAATAAAGAACGGGCAACATGGGCCTGGGGAGCTTCGCTAAATTGCTATGGACCAGTAACTACAATGCACCTTCTGTTTTATCCTCTTTTGAAAAGTTCATCTACAGCAGTTATCTTATGCCTAATGCCTAACCCACCCCTGTATGTTGGGTATTTGAAGGATAGATAATTGGTCTCTTCAGTTCATAGGTCTTTGAATTAAGATCAAATGCTCTTGAGCATTCGGGAGTTGTGTCCAAGGAACCCCATCTATATCTGGACTTGACTTAGGTGAAGAAACCTGGGATGTCAAGTTTATGATGTAATAAAATAAGACAGGTAATATTGTATGAGAGATTAAGTGAATTTTGTAAATAGGAGAAACATGGATTGTGTATTCAACAGACAGATTGTGATGGATCCTATTTTCCAAAGATGGTCACCAAATGTATCTAATCCCAAGTACTCACCTTACAATGTGACAGTGACACTCCATGCATATGGTAATGTAGATCTATTTCCCCAACCCTTGAATTTGGATGAACCTCTATGACTGCCTCAACCAATTCAGGTCAGTAGAAGTGACAGTATGTTACTGCATAAGCTACATCATAAAAAAGTCTTGCACGTGCACCTTGTTCCAATACGAAACTCAATCTTGGAACTCAGCTACCATGTTTTGAGGAAGCAGGCAGGTCACACGGAGAGGTCAGGTATAGGTATTCTAGTCGACAATCCCAGCTGAAGTTCTAGCTGACATACAGCATCAAGCACAAGATGTGAGAGGAAACCTTTAAGTTGATTCAAGCCCCTGCCACTGTCTAACTGCAACCTCATCAGAGACCCAAAGTGAAACTGCCTGAGTATATCACAGTCAATCCTTTAAACTGTGGGAGATAAAAGTAAGAGTGGCTGTATTAAGCCAAATTTTGGTATGACTCACTACTAACAAGAGATGAGAGGCACAATAGCCAACCAAACACTAAGTTCTTTCTACTCCCTAAATAACTCAAATTCATCAGGTTCTTTTTATCTAATTACCACCAGCCTATAACATTACCTAAAATATTTTATGCAATTGTTTGCTTAAACTTCTCCAAAGGGAAGAGAACATGTCTTTATCCCCAACATCTAGCACAGTGCTTGGTACCTTTGACAAATGATGGCAAATGACCAATTACTGAAATTGCACAGTAAAAAGTGGTACTAGTGATTTGATTATGAGTTCAAGAAACCATACTTGGTAGATTGGAATAGCTTATTCTACTTACATTGCATAAGGCACCATAGCGAAGAATAGAGAGCAAAGAATGTACATGACTTTCACTGGTAAAATATAACCTGGTACGGACATGACGTTCAGGAGACAGAACACCTCTGGAATACCTAAAGTTAGTAGCAGACAATGTTAGAACATAACCATCTGGTCAAACATTAAGTACTGAAATTATTTTGTAATGGAATTTAATCTTACTAGAAGTAAAAAACTATAATGAGTAAATCTATCCCTCTTCCAACCACAACTGAGGAGTTATCTATATAGATATTCCTCTAACATGAAGATTAACTAGAACTAACTGGGATCTCTGAGATTAGCCAAAAAAGAATTAATATTAGTTTGGGGCGCCTGGGTGGCTCAGTGGGTTAAAGCCTCTGCCTTCAGCCCAGGTCATGGTCTCAGGATCAAGCTCCTCTTGAGCCTGCTTCCTCCTCTCTCTCTGCCTGCCTCTCCACCTGCCTGCAATCTCTGTCAAATAAATAAAATCTTAAAAAAAAAAAAAAAAGAATTAATATTAGTCAAATTCACTGTAAATAGGTCATTTTAGCTCCTCTAATAAAAATGACAAAGGTCATAACCCTAAAGAAGCTCACAGATATTTATCCTGCTGAATGTACACACTGATGATCCCATACAAAAGATGACACATGTCCCCTTTCATCTCAGTTCTTCCTCAGTTTGGACCCCTAAAGAACCTTGGTTGGAAGTTAAACGTTAGCAACACCTTGGTAATCCTTCTTTCCACAGTGCACTAAGTAACACATTCCTGATTTCTTCATAGGAACATTAGATTTGAATATGCAAAAACAGGTGCCTATAGATTTACAATACCAGTACAGTCTCTTACACAGGGTGGAGTTTATTTACAGTGTCATCATCTTGTGTCCTCTGGAGGTCTGAGCGAATTTTTCTAACTAGAGGAGTACAGTAGCCTTTGGCAATCTCCAGTTTTTCAGCTTTAGTTATACCATATTCCTGAGCAGAAAATAATATCATTATTAGAAAAAGGGTATAATGACAAAGCACTCTAGCAAAGGCACTGCTTATTTAAAACATCCGAGGTAAGAGACAAACACCTTTATTAAGCTTCTTTTTTTGAACATTACAAATTTCTGAGTTTACATTTTTTGCAACTGCAAGTATACCATCCTAAAACTTCTAAGTATAATTGGAAAGACTTTTTTTTGTAGAATGGAAAAAGCAAGTAATTTCTCAAGAGGGGAGGATGAATGAATGAATTTAATCTTAATTGACAGTAGTTCGACTAAATCATAAGGTTTTAAATGTAGAAACAATCCTAAAAGAAAGACGGACTAAGGACACAAACACTAGAGCACAGAAAAACAGTCAATAAACCTATGAAAAGAAATACAAATGAAACCATGAGATTTTGTTTATTCAAATGCCAAAGATTAAAAAGGCTAACAAATCACTTAAAAGTCTTTGGCTAATGCTTTGAAAGTGGTGAGCAAAAAAATGTAATGTAATCATCATATTTAATGACTTCAATAATAATTATGAGTTAATCAAACTTACAATGAGGTTTTACAATATGAAGTGTTAAGAAAACATAATCATCATAATAATTCTAATAAAAATTACAGTTCAAAGAAACAGGTTAGAAAATGACCTGATGTATAAAGAGAAAAAGCTGTGATATGTGTGTAGATGGAAAAGAGGGAGAGGAAGAAAAGCCGAAAGTGGAAAGGGAGGGACAGAGACAGAAAGGAGAGTGCAGAGAGGAGGGGGAATAGACAGGCATACCCTCTCTCTCCAAGTTTATTCTAAGATAACCTGAATTTAAAGACTACTTCCTGGGGCACCTGGGTGGCTCAGTGAATTAAGCCGCTGCCTTTGGCTCAGGTCATGATCTCAGGGTCCTGGGATCGAGTCCCGCATCAGGCTCTTCAGGCTCTCTGCTCAGCAGGGAGCCTGCTTCCCTCTCTCTCTCTCTCTCTCTCTCTCTCTGCCCGCCTCTCCGTCTACTTGTGATCTCTCTCTGTCAAATAAATAAATAAAACCTTAAAAAAAAAATTTGTATAAAGACTACTTCCTGCTATCAGATACTTCCCAAATAGCAAAAACTCTATATGGATAATAAAACTGAGAACTGTCAAGTAAAGAAAAGGCTGACTGATTACAGATGAAAGGCCCATGAAAATAGAAACTTCTTGGGTCCCTTTATCATAAACTAAAACTTGGTTGGTTCAACAGTCTTGCCAACATAGATGACTGTGAATGGAGTATGTAAAAAAGATATATATGTAACTGTATATGTGTAAATAAAAGGAAAATACTGGAACTAAAAATCATTAGGTGAAATTTTTTTGTGTTGTTAGCAAGGTATGAAGAGACAGATGCTTTCACACTGTGTTTACCTGGAAAAAAACTAGTAAAAGATTTCTGCAGCTACAAAAACAGTCTTGAGTATAAGTAAAGACATGTGAAAAGAGAGTGAAAGAAATGAAGAGTCCAGATTCCCAAATACGAAAAATTGGTTAAATAAGTAATTATCATACCATTACCCATTAGAAATGATGATGTACATATAGCTTTAATGATATGGAAAGAAGTTCTTGGTGCTAAGTGAAGGGGAAAAAATCAGGTAGTAAAAGAGTATGCTTTTTCTGGTTCCATTTGTGCAAAGAATACGTTTGTTATAAGTATGAGAAAAATTGTAGCTTTGTGAATTTAAGAGAAAAATCCTTTAAGAATTTTCTAACACATTAAAATGTTTTCCTCTAGTTGATAATATCACAGTGACTTCTACATTTTCTAATTTTACACACATATTAATTTTGTAATAAAGAAATTATTCCCTTTAACACACATACATGTTTTGTTCATCTGCCACCACCAAGTAGGATCAAATAATTAATTGTTAGATATCCCAGTTCTTGTGTGTAATTACAACATTTCTGCCATAGATAGAACTAATTAAAATACCAGATGAGGCTATCTGAAAGCTTATTATGTGGTTATATTTAATGAGAGTATCAATGGACTTTATATGGTAAATGCTATTATAAACAATTCTCTCTACTTCATAATCCATAAATAACTAAACAAATTGTCTTCAAACATTCATAAATGTGATCCCAGTTAAGAGAACCTTAATACCAAATTTAATCTTAAGAGGTTCTTATCTACTGCCATAACATCATGACTATTTTTAAGCATCATTTTTAAGACAGAGCCTCTATTTGATGAAAATTGAGATTGTTAAAAAGTGGAAAGTTAATTCTATCAAAAGAAAAATATTTAATAATAATTAAATTAGTTTAATTTAAAATAAATAAAAGTAATAAACTGTATTATATATAAGCTTAGTTATGATTAGAATTACATAATTCACACAGTGTAGATTTAAGTATTAATCAATTCAGGGGCGCCTGGGTGGCTCAGTGGATTAAGCCGCTGCCTTCAGCTCAGGTAATGATCTCAGGGTCCTGGGATCAAGCCCTGCATCTGCCTCAGCATCCCTGCTGAGCAGAGAGCCTGCTTCCCCCTCTCTCTCTGCCTGACTCTCTGCCTACTTGTGATCTCTCTCTCTGTCAAATAAATAAATAAAATCTTAAAAAAAAAAAAGAATTAATTCAATGTAAGCACAGAAATACATTTTTAGAGGCATAACACTTTGAGGTATAACAGTGCATATACCCATTCTTCTTGCAGATAGTGATATTCTCAATCTAAATTAGCATATTCTAAACTAGTCAAAATTCTACGTTATTTGACTGAATCATCAAGTCTCTAAGCTTGAAATAGTCTTTATTTCCTTGAGAATTAAGTAGGCAAAATTTTCATTTTCTTTCCATTATAAACTACAGTTTCATCATAATTACCATAAATACATTAATAACTTTTAGTTTGTTAAGCGACTGGAAATGCATGCATTTTGTCCATAGTTGTGGATTTAGGAAGGCTAACAAAGCAAAATAATATTTACTGGACTGAATTCAATACTCCATTAAAAAAGAAGAAATCCCAAGTTTCTGCCACAATAAGGAATATCAAACCAAAAAGTTAGGGAGGTAAACCCAAAGCTGTCCTCTACTCAAGTTATAATCTCAGAACTACAGAAAAGCATACTAAAAAAACCTCTGCTTTTAAAGTTATAACTTTTTCAAAATGTAATTATAAATTTATCAAAAATAAAACAGATTCTTGTATACTTGGGCAAAATGTTGTCTGAACAATCCAAAGATTTGGGTAAGTAATTTATCCAAGAAAGAAATTTTGGAGATGTCTTCAAGTAAATCCTCAGACTGCTGAGATCTAACCTAACTGCATCCAAAGGCAGTTACTGTAATAAACACTGAGGACAGTTGAGCATGACAAATTATTTTAAAAGATATATATGATGCTTTAAATCCCCAACCCATTCTCATTTTCACTGATTCTTAGTACTTTGAAAAATTCATTATAAATATTTAAGCTACAAGGAGATGGTAAGAAGTTTCTTCAGTGATTTAAGCAATACACCTGAAATACATAGATACATAGGAGAAATTAACATCTAAAACCCTATTAACACTTGAGTGTCTTTTTAAGCCCAACTCTGAGAAACCAGCCTTTCATGCCCAATTCTAGAATGTTTAGTATACAGAACTGAGAGACATGAGGTTACATAAATCATGTAACAAAATAGACATGATTATGCTAACAAATCATTTGTGTAGTTAGCCACTGAGGTGCTAAGTTTAGATATACTGAAAGCCTACTCTGAAGAATGCATATAGCCACCCTAAATATTTAAGACTGCCTTATATTAACAGTTTACCTGTTAAAAAGCATACTTTTAAGTAATCTTCACTGACAAAATGAGTATAACTAATACGCACTGAGCCTGGACTAATGTCAAAGCAATCCAAAACAATGAAAACTTCCAGTGCAAACTAATTATATGGTTAGCAGAATCAACAGCAACCATTCCGGGGCGCCTGGGTGGCTCATTCAGTTAAGCTTCTGCTTTCAGCTCAGGTCATGATCTCAGGGTCCTAGGATTGAGCCCCACCTTGGGCTCCCTGCTTAGTGGGGAGTATGTTTCTTCCTTTCCTTCTGTCTCTCCCCCCTTGCTCATGTGCTCTCTTTCTCTCAAATAAATAAAATCTTTTAAAATAAAACAAAACAAGCCGGCAATCATTCTTGGAATAGTTAATAGAAATTTGAATCAACTTTCTTTCTTGAATTTCAAAACAAAGATGACTTTGACTCAGTAACTTCAGTTATAATCAAACCAGTGTTAGCTCAATGACTGTCTATACATTGCAGCTAAAACTGAGTTATGCAGAATTTAGTGTGTTCACTCTGATGATAATCTTAAAACATCTTACCTGTCATAAAACTCTTTATTCTGTAAAATTAAATTTCTCTTTTGCATTTTTTTTTTAAGATTTTTAAATCTGTTTCAAAGAGAGAGAGAGGGCGCCTGGGTGGCTCAGTTGGTTAAGCGACTGCCTTCAGCTCAGGTCATGATCCTGGAGTCCCGGGATCGAGTCCTGCATCAGGCTCCCAGCTCCACGGGGAGTCTGCTTCTCCCTCTGACCTTCTCCTCGCTCATGCTCTCTCTCACTGTCTCTCTCTTCTCTCAAATAAATAAATAAAATGTTAAAAAAAAAAAAAAAAAAAAAAAACAAAGAGAGAGAGAGAGAACATATGCCTGCAGGGAGGGGCAAGGGGAGGAGACAAGTCGACTCCCCACTGACGGATCCAAGAGTCCAACACAGAACTTGATCCCAGAACCCCGAGAGCATGACCTGAGTTAAATCCAGAGCTGGACGCTTCAAAGACTGAGCCATCCAGGTGCCCCTAAATTTCTCTTTTGCAGAATAAAAACTCTCTTCCATTTAGTAAAACAGATCGTCAGATAACAAATCCTTGTTTGCGAAGTCAAACTTTAAGTTTCCTAAAAGGCCCAAAGATACATTCTTGATATGTGACGTATTTTTATCTTCTTTTTTAAGAATTCATTTTGCACATCACTGGATCATACAATATACTGAAGATTGTCTATATTATACATCTGACCAAACAAGTAAGCAGTGTTCTCTCAGGCTGAAAGAATAAGCTAATCTTTAGCAGGTACACAAATACAGTACACAGTTGTGTACTGTCTGAATTCCCAGTTTTTTAAGTTTGTAGTTCTTCCTGAACTTTCTGTGAAAATTAAGGGACACTGATACTATTTTAACCATTTTCATATGTATTTTTAAGTAAGGGTACTTTTGTTCAGCATCTTCATTATTTTTCAGGTATCCCATTTTTTCCTTCTATTTAACTTTGGTTCATAGGTGGAATATCTGATCTACTCCAATCTCTTCTTTATAATATCCAAATAATCTTTTGTCATTGAGTAGAAAACAGGTCCCAAATTTAAGAAGAATTTAGGAGTACCAGGGTGACTCAGTCAGGGGTCTGACTCTGGATTTCAGCTCAGGGAATCTGGAACCATTTTCCATTATCATGTTCTGTATCTCACTTGTCTTGTCATTTGCCTCTTTATTATCAATCTGATTCTCTGCCTAATTACATTTCAATTATTTGAATTCTGATTACACCTTTATTTTTATTCTTCTATAAATGAAAGGACCCATGACTTGCACCCTTCCAATAATAACTTACACCTTGACCTCCAAATATTTTTTTCAAGGGGCACCTGGGTGGCGATTAAGCGTGAACTCTTGATTTTTGCTCGGGTCATGATCTCAGGGTCATGAGATGGAGCCCCATGTCAAGCGCTGCATTAGGTGTGAAGCTTGCTTAAGATTCTCTCTCCCTCTGCCCCTCCCCCGTTCTCTCAAAAAAAATTCTTTTTTTTCAAACTACTTGCACATATTTTTTATTTTTTTTCAAAATACTTGCATATAGTACATAATATGGAAGTATGTGGGGAGTGGGAGAAAAAGGTAGTTATGGCCCAATGTAAATTTTGCAAGTCTTTTTAATTTATGTGCAAGTATTTTGAAAAAGAAAAAAAGAAAACTTTTTTATTGCATAATAAGTAGTAATTAAACTACTAAACTATCACTGTAATTAAATTATTAGAAAATCAAGTAATGATTTAATACAATAAAAAGCTTAAAATATAAGTCCATAATTACTTAACTTTCCTTTTAAAAGTTATGGATTTTATAGAGAGATAAAAACCAACTATCTTTTTTCCAGTGACAGAAATTTTTTAAAAGAATCTAAAGAACACTCTAAGAAAACTGATTTCTAGATTTACTTACCTGAGGGATAACAATATCTGCTAATGCTTTCGAAAGCCTGTATAATTCCATTGTATTTTCTAATTTCAAGGAACCATTATGCTGGACATCATATTTTATACAGTCATATATGTCAGGGATTTTACTAATGTCATATCTTCCATTCTTTGTCTTAAAGTCCTTCTCCAACTTGGACCATCTACGTAGCATAAGCTCTAATGTTTCACTGTGGTAAAGCTGAATATCTAAAACAACATAACGGATTTAGTATTATTAAACTTAGATTAAGGGAATATACTAAAATGTTGATATTTAGAAACTTTTAAAAGTTGATAATTAGAAACTTTTTTTAGTGTCAGAGGTAAAACTATTAAAAGAGTAGGGAATGTTATCATAGTTATATACCATTTGCAAGCATTTATTTTGTAGACTTTCAAAGAATAAATAATTGGCTTAGGACTTGGGTTAAAGAAAAGACCTTTATGTTACACACTTCAATAATCAGAAGAAAAAGAACAATTATAACAGACCTCTTTAAGACTATTTACAATTCTAAATTTTAAGTACCATTCTTTCTTACTAGATTCACAGAACTAACAACAGAATAGACACTCTTTAGCAGAAAGGAACCTTGGAAATTAAACAGTTCAAAGGATTTATTTTTACAGGAAGAATTCTAGATTTCAAAGTTGCTCAAGTTATAACAAAGTTAATATCAGAGTTACAGCCCAGATCATCTTCCCATGTTTGTTTCTGATAAGCTGCCTACCTGCCGCTTAACTATATGACAGTGCTATGGGATTAATCAAACAATAATATTTTATTATTTTTTTCATGTTATCATAGAGAAAAGAAACTGTAACCTAGCTATTATTCTTTTGCTGGATGTATGTTCACTCAGACCTAGAACAGTATGAGGCTTAATTTAAGATTGATGTATCTTGTTTTAAAATGTTTATTTAACTGGATAATAATTTTCATTTGTTTCATGTCCCAAGGAATACGTAATATTTACCTGATGATTTGGGATCTTCCATTCGATGTCGGATTTGAGAAGTCAAACTTTGTATCAAGGAATAAACTTTATCACAGGTCTTAACAGGATTTTTAATTAAATGCATTGATTTAATTAGAGAAATGCTTCCAGATGGAGTAAGCTACAAATGAAGACAGTAAAAATTTTACATCTAGTTATGCTTAATTATCCAAGAGAATAATACACAAAATTTTCCAATAGCTGGAGAATAATTCTATATCATAAATTAAGATGACCCCCCAAAATATAGTAATAAGATCAAGAAGGAAGTAAAAATTTCAGAATTTTATGTCAAAAAAATAGTAAAGATTAGTTATCATAAGATTACTCACAGAGAAAATTTAGCAGAAGTACTCTAACTTACAATGAAATTTTATTCTAACTTACAGTGACAAATTGTTGACTCAGGATGGTTTTAATATAATGTATTATATATAATGTATATATAATGTAATATATTGCATATATTTACATGCAATAACCCTAAGACTCCATCACTATCATTATCTTTCTTCCAGATGAGTTTTTTAACAGAGGTTACATGACATGCCTAAGATCAAACCAATAGTAGGTCAAGAGTGAGAGAAAAATCGGCGCCTGGGTGGCTCAGTGGGTTAAAGCCTCTGCCTTCAGCTCGGGTCATGATCCCAGGATCCTGGGATTGAGCCTGCATCGGGCTCTCTGCTCGGCAGGGAACCTGCTTCCCCCCCTCTCTCTGCCTGCCTCTCTGACTACTTGTGATCTCTGTCTGTCAAATAAATAAATAAATAAATCTTTTAAAAAAAAAAGAGTGAGAGAAAAAAAGCAGGTGGTCTGGCTATAGAGCTTGTCCTCTTAATGAACATGCTAATGCTATTGTGATGAGATTTTCCTAAGTCAACAAAATCCGTTAGTGACAACACAGTTTCAAATTAGTTTTGATATTTAGCATGGCAAGTTATTTTATCATTAAGAAAGTTTCTTTAAAGTATGTAAATTGAATTTCACTTCTTTTTATTATAAACTAGTTAGTTTGGATCAATCCAACCATTGAAGAAAAGTAAGATTCTGGGCTAACTTCTGTATTTCTGCTTTAAGGTACCTGAGAAATAGCATGGTAAGAAATTGTGGCAGCCGAACTCATAGGTCAGAGATCCAGAGAATGATCCTGGCATTTAGGTCTATTTTTGTACCAGAGACATTTATTGAGTCTGAATAGATAGCAGAGAGGTAGAATAGAGGTTTAATAGTCTTATTAGGTTAAGGCGACCAAAGTGAAGTATAGTGTTCCCAAAAGTAGAACTCTGGCAAACTACACATTTAAGGTTTGAAAAAGTAAAGATGAATCAGAAGCAAACCAATCCATGAACAAAATGCAGACTAGGTTCAAGTCAACTATTGGCTCTGAAAAGATCTGTTCTGAAATTGGACTAAGGCAATCCTAGATTGTTGTACCGACAGGTAAATGGCAGGAACAAATTAAGAAAGCCATATAGGAAGATGATAATATAATCTTAAGCTAACTTTATTTCCACAAACAAATATGCATCCATTACTCAAGATACTCAGGCACAAAAGAAAACAGGACAGTATAAATGCCAATAAGCATAATACACAATAGAAACAGAACCAAAGAGACTCTAGGTATTAGATTTATTAAAAACTAAAAAAATGAGGAAAACACTAATTTGTAAAGATACATGCACCTTATGTCTACCACAGCATTATTTAAAATAGCCAAATAATGGAAGCAGTCCAAGTGTATACATATAGATGACCAGATAAAGGTGTGGTGTGTACAAACACACACACACACACACACACACACACACACACGAATATTATTCAACATGAAAAAGAATAAGATCTTGCCATTTGCAACATGGATAGATCTAAGGAGTATAGTGTTAAGTGAAATAAGTCAGAGAAAGACAAACACCATATGATTTCACTCCTATGTGAATTTAAGAATTTAAGAAACAAAACAAATGAAGAAAAAAGGTACAACCAAAACAACCACTCTTAACTGAAGAGAACAAATTGATGGTTACCACAGGGGAGGTAGGTGGAAGATGGGTGAAATAGTGATGGGAACTAAGATGACACTTAATCATGAGGAGTACTGAGTAATGTGTAGAATGGTTGAATCTCTATATTGTAAACCTGAAACTAATAAAACACTGTTAACTATATTGGAATTAAGAAAGAAAACAAAGAGTAAAAAATTAAACACCTGAAAAATGAGGAAACTTCCTGTGTTCAAAAAGATAAAAGAAAACACTAAAACTAAAAAACTGCAAATGACTGAAAAATGACAAATTCAATATTAAAATAGCAAAAAGAAATTTTAGAATTGAAAAATACGCTGGCTAAATTAAAAGCACATAAAATACAGCCAAATACTAACTTCCAATTAGTAAATTGGAAGACTGGTGAGAAAATTTTATCCATAATAAAGCATAGAGACCGAAGGATGAAAAAAAACTTTTTTTAAAGGATAAGAGAAGAGAAATTTCTAACAAACATGTATTTAGAGACCCAGAAGAAGGTAAGAAATGCTACATTAAAACACAAAAATCAAAACCAGAAAAACAACTTCCCAAAACTGAAGCCACAGATACAAGAATCCTAATCGACTACTAGCAGGATAAGTTAAAAAAAAAAAAAAAAAAAAAATCTAGGGGCGCCTGGGTGGCTCAGTGGGTTAAAGCCTCTGCCTTCAGCTCCGGTCATGATCTCAGGGTCCTGGGACTAAGCCCTACATCTGGCTCTCTGCTCAGCGGGGAGCCTGCTTTTCCTTCTCACTCTGCCTGCCTCTTTGCCTACCTCTGATCTCTGTCAAATAAATAAAAATTTTTTAAAAAATCTTAAAAAAAAAAAAAGCAATCTACATCTAAACATGTAACAAAATAACTGCTGAAAATCAAAGGCAAAAATGTTAAAAGTGGCCAGAAGGAGTTACTGAAGAATTTTTTTTAAAAAATTAATTAATTAATTAATTTTTAAAAAGATTATCTTCAAAGGTATAATAACAGTAAGATCATCAACTGACTTCGTAAGGGAAATGCTAGAAGCTACAAGATGGTCTAACAGTATCTTCAGTGCAATGAAAGAAAATAAATGTTATCCTGGAACTCTACACCCAGTGAAAATATCCTATATAGTCAAGTTGAGGGGCGCCTGAGTGCCTCAGCTGGTTAAGCATTCAACTCTTGATTTCGGCTCAGGTCATGATCTCAGGGTTGCGAGATTGAGCCTCACGTCAGACCCTGCTGCTGGGCATGGAGCCTGCTTAGGATTCTTCCTCTTCCTCTGCCCTTCCCTTACCCTCCCCTTTAGAAAAAAAAAAAAAATAGTAAAGTTGGAATAAAAACATCTTCCAACAGAAAAGAATTCACCACCAGTAGACTGATACTAACAGAATACAGTTGTTCAGACAGAGGGAAAATGGTCTTAAATGGAAACTATGGACTTCCAAAAGAATAAAAGGTCATTTAAAGGGCAAATGAGAGGCGCCTGGGTGGCTCAGTCAGTTAAGCCCGCAACTCAATTTCAGCTCTGTTCTTGATCTCAGGGTCTTAAGTTCAAGCCCCTGCACACCGAGCATGGAGCCTACTAAAACAAAACATAACAAAACAAAACAAAAAACCCAAAAAAGGGCAAATTAATGGATAAATTTAAATAAAAACTCCTTGCATAAAAGAGTAACAAAATGACATTGTACAGTTTAAAATACACAAAATTAAACAATATTAAGAGCATAAAAGTTACAGGTAGGCAAATGTTACAAGGATTTTAAGGCTTGCTGCTAAATGTATGGTCTAAGGAGTAGGCACTGACACGAACTGGAAGCTTATTAGAAAGCTGAATCGTAGTCTCCATCCCAGATAGGATGAATAAGAATATGCATTTTTAATAAGACTTCAGATGATTATTATGCAAGTTAACGTTTGCATAGTATTTTTCTAGAATCTGTGCATTGTCCAGAGTAAGAGCACCATGTATGTAAACATTTGACTTTAAGAAGTCATAGAAGCAGGGCACCTAGGTGGCTCAATGGGTTAAGCATCTGCCTTCAGCTCAGGTCATGATCTCAGGATCCTGGGATGGAGCCCCACATCAGGCTCTCTGTTCGGCAGGGAGCCTGCTTCTTCCTCTTTCTCTGCCTGCCTCTCTGTCTACTTGTGATCTCTCTGTCAAATAAATAAATAAAATCTTAAAAAAAAAAAAAAAAAAGAAGTCATAGAAGCCTACTGTTATCTCTGGGGTAATGACAAAACAAAAAATAAAATCAAATATAATTTTTAAGCTAACAGAAATAAGTAAGTAAAAAGTACCAATTTCAACAAAGGAAGAGAGAAAAATTAAGGCAGTATAAATGTAAAGCCCTTGAAAATATAGTGGATTCACATCTAAATTTGCCAGTAATTTATATTGTAAATAAAAATGCCCTAAATATTTTCATAATACATTTTTAAAAATCCAGCTATATGCTGATTACAATAGATATATCTAAAAACGTAATTTAAAAAAAACATAATTTCACAAAGACTTAAAGTAAAAAGATAAAAAAGATACACAATGCAAGACCAAGTAAGAGGGGAAAAACTGTTGTTGCTTATATTAACCTCAAATGTTGATGCAAAAAGTACTGGTGGAGATATATCATTTCTAAATTTGTGTCTGTCCAACAACATGTCATCAAATATGTAAAGCAAAGATTAAGAAAACTACAAAGACAAGGAAAATCCACAGTTAGGGAAATGTTCACACACAACAACAACAAAAAAAAAACAAAAAAATTCAGGAAGAATTCTTGTTTTTACTAAAATGGTATAAAGTTTAACTCAAAATGCCATAGGTTTGGAAATTTTGAAAAACAAACAAAAAAACAAAACCCTCTGAATAATCTATGATCAAAGAAGAAAAATCAAAGGAAATTAGAAAATATCCCAAACCACACAAACCTCAAAATTTATGCATGCAGTAATAAAGAGAAATTTATAGCCTAAAGTCTGTATTTTAGAAAAGACTGAACATTCATGAGTTAATAAGCACACAGCTAGTGAAATGAGTTTATGGAAATAGAAGGAATATAATATTAAACAAAAATTAATCAAATGGAAAACAAGTACATAATAAAGAGGACCAAAAAATCAAAGATATTTCTTTGAAAGGACTAGTAAAGTATATCAACCAGTCCAACTGATCAAGAGAAAAAAGACAGTACAATGTTATGAAACAGAAAAGGACATCTCTACAGATCCTGCAGACATCACAAAGAATTTTAAAAGGATATGATAAATAAATATGATAAATAAGAATGTAATTTAATACTGACACAAAATATACTAACTGAAAATTAGTAAGTACTCTGGAATCCATAATTACAATGATTACATGATTTCCCACAAAGAAAATCTCCATAGGGTTTACTAGTAAATTTTACCAAATATTTAATTAAAGATATGTACACAAACTCTTTCCACAAAATAGGACACCCTAACAAATTTTAGGGGATTAACATAATTCTAATATTGAAAGCAGACCAAGACATAAGAACAAAAATGTGAAGGTCAGTCTAACTTGAACACAGATGTAAAACTCTTACCCAAAAATAGCAAACCCAAACTAGGGATATATATTAACAACAACAATAACAAAATACATACATACACATATACATATAAAAGTTGAGTTTATTCTAAGAACCACGATAGCTTTGATATCCCCCCAAAATCAAACAATACAAGAGATAAAAAGGAAATAATGATAAAATTCACCAACTTTTCATTTAACAAAACAGGAACAAAATGGAATTTCCTTATTTTGAAAAAGAATAGCTATTTAAAAATCTATAGAAAACATAGGGGCGCCTGGGTGGCTCAGTGGGTTAAAGCCTCTGCCTTCGGCTCAGGTCATGATCCCATGGTCCTGGGATCGAGCCCCACATCGGGCTCTCTGCTCAGCAGGGAGCCTGCTTCTCCCTCTCTCTCTCTGCCCACTTGTGATATCTCTCTCTCTGTCAAATAAATAAATAAAATCTTAAAAAAAAAAAATCTATAGAAAACATATTTAATGGACAAGTGTTAAAAGCTATCTTTGAGAACATGGACAAGATATACCATTTCTATTTAATACTGTTTATAAGCTAGTTACTGAAGATAAGAAAAAAAAATAAATAAAATCAGAAAGGAAGAAAAAACCCTATATGCTTTTAAAGGATAAAGAAAAATCTACCAATAAATTATTCAAGTAATAAATGAGTTCAATAAGGTTGATGCATACAAAGTCAACATTAGCTATTTTTACGTAACAACAGAAAATAAAATTTTTAGAGGTACTATTTACAACAGCATTAAAAATATATTAAAAGAAATACATTTTCAGAAACTACAGATGTGATCCATGTAAACCAATACTGCAACAGGATTTTTGACAGGTTATTTTTAAATTTACATGGAAATGCAAGAAAAGCCAAAAAAAAAACTTGAAGAAGGGACCTTGTAGTACTTGGGAGATCAAGAAAAGAATATAGTATAGAAAAAAATCATGTATATATATTATAAAGATGGTACCACAAAGTAGAGGGGAAAGGATAGTCTTTCAGGATGTGGTGCTGAAGTATCTGGGATGTATAAACAGCTGGGTAAAAATCAATTTCGACATCCTATAGCACACTGAAACGTCAATTTTAGCCAGTTTATAGATAAATGTGAAGGGCAAAACAGTAAATCTTACAGAAGGTCATACATAAGACTATTTTATGACCTCTAATTAGAAAAAGATATTAGAAGCAATACATTAAAATGCACTGACCACAAAGGGGAATGGGAGATACCAGCATCCAGTTATTGAATGAGCAAGTCATGGGGAAAAACAGCAGAGCACAGGGAATATAGTCAATGGTATTTTAATAGTGTTGTACGGTGACAGATGGTGGCTACACTTGTGGAGAGCATGGCACAACATACACTCTTGTCTGTCTAATCACTAATCAACTAATCAACTAATTATGTGTTGTATACCTGATACTAATGAAACAATGTGTGTCATTATACCTCAATAATTAAAAAAAAAAAAAGATACTAGACTACACTAAAAAAATGGACTGACCATAAAGGAAAAAATTAAACTTGGAATTCATGAAAAATGAGAACGTCTGCTTATTGAAAAATATCATAAAGTCTCAGAGTAGGTGGTAGGATTTAGAATACATATAAAAAAGAGCTCATATTCAAAATAACTTAAGAACTTCTACCACTCACTAAGAAAAAAACAGACAAGCAGTAGAAAAAAGGACAAGAGACTTGAAGAGAAGGCCTCAGGAAAGGATAGCTAAATGATCAAAAGATACTAAAACCACACTGAGCTACTATTACACATCCACCTTCAGAACAGTCAAAACTGAATAGTCTGAGAATACCAAGAATAGAGACTATGTAGAATAATGATTATTTTCATGGACTTCTGGTGGAAGCGTAAATTGGCTCAATAATGGCTTTGGAAAACAGTTTGACATTATCTACTAATATTGAAACAGAAGCTTATGGTGGGTCACAACAATTCCAATCTTAGAATACACCAAGAGAATGTATGCTCATATGCACTAGGAGATGCACAATGACCGTCTCAGCAGTATTAATCATAAGAGCACAAGACTGTAACGATGATACAAAGTATATATAAATTATAGTATACTCATAGAATAAAACACGGGTCATCAAACTACGGCCTACAGGCCAAATGTGGCCTGTGGCATAGCCCATGAGCAAAGAACGGTTTTTACATTTTTTAAAGGGGGTTAAAAAACAAAAAGAATATGCAACAAGAGACCAAAGTGACCCACAAAGCCTAAAATTTACTATCTGGTCTCTCACAGAAAAAGTTTGCCAATCCCTAAAATAAAATACTACATAGAAGCGATTACTGGTTAACCGTGGAAATTCTCAAAAATATGGATGAACGTCATAAACACGGTATTGAGCAAAAGAAGCCAAACATAAAAGAAAACCTACTCTATTGTATGAAGCTTAGAAAACAGCCAAAACTGAGACCATAGCAATTAGGGATACATACTTATCCAAGTAAGTTTCTTGATATGAGAAGACTTTAAAAAAGAGCAATAGAAAGTAAGGATAGTAATTATTTCTAGGAGATTGGGAAGGAGCTACAATTGAGGAGGGGCACACAGGGGTCAGAGGTGTCCCAATGTTCTATTTCTGTTTCTGGATGGTGGCTATATGAGTATTTGCTTTCTAATACAACAGGCTCTAAGTTTATGTTTTATATACTTTTCTGTACATGCATGATATTTCACAATGTAAAAGAGTTTGTTTAGACCCACCTTTTCATAGTCTTCAGCTGTAAAATCTCTATCTTTCTGAAGTATTTCATGAAGTCTTGCTTTCACACGTTGCTGACAACTGCTCAAAGAGTCACTGTCACTATCCAAAAGACCATTCATATTTGCACTTTTTACCATCTGAACAAGAATGGGTGTAAGCTCTCCTTCTAGAGCTAAGAGCCCCTAAACATATTGAATAAAGCCAATACAGATTTTAAAATTAGTATACAAATTAATAGAAAGCATTTTAGTAATTATTTTGTTACATGCTGAATTTCACAAGGCATAGGCTAACTATGTGCAATAAATAAACTGTTAATAATATAGCCCATCACCATTTCAGGGCCTGAGTTTGAAATTTCAAATTTAGAATTTTTAAACATTGCCTTAGCAAAAATCTTTTAAAATGTAATATTAGATGACATTCCTAGTAATTCTAAAAAACATTTATACCTTTGCAAAAGCAGCTGCAGTCATCTGTACTCGTCCCTCATCAGAGGCATATATTTTGAGGTCATGTCGATAGGTACTATGTAATCTAAGTAAACCACAACCAGGAAATCCTGCATAATCTCCTGAAAATAAATACTCAAATCACTTAAGCTATATTTTTGTCTCACTATATTTCTACAAATATTTAGAAACATCACAAAATAAGTGAAGATTTGACAACATAATGCATAGATATAACCAAATTAAAGAAACGACAAGATTTACCTTGACCTCCAGGATACATACACCTGAAAGCTCTTCCAAGTTCTTCAGCCTGGACCCTGCCGGCAGGAGTTAGTTCTCCTCCCCATTTTAGAACCAAAAGTAAGGATGGTTCTTCTCTTCGGCTGTCTAAGACACATGTGAATGGATGGAGGCAAATGTCAAGTTTGTTTCTTTTAAAGAGACATATTATCAAGATTAATTTTTTCTTTGTTCTCTCTTCTGCAGTGAAATATAACTTTTATCTAAATTATCTTGTTCCTTTGAACATACCTATCTGTAGGCTTTTGTTTCTTTCAGGAACACTCTTTGCTCCTTCAGTTAAAATCTTACTCAAATTTCAAAATCTCTTCCATACTTTACGAAGAAGGCTCTTTCTCAGTTTTCTGAAAGAAGTATTGCTTCTACCTTCCCTGCTATCATAGTGACAGGACACCAATAAGATTTGCCCAATATATTTAATTTAGTTGTGCTAGCGATGTTAGATTAAGAGCTCCCTGACCACAGGATCAAGATCTTATCTTTATATCAAAAGTCTCACATAAAAGGTAATGCTACCTGAAGTGAAGATACATACATTTTTATGATGAGAAATTAATGATCTGCATAATTTTAGGAAGACATGAGATGAGAAAACCTAAAATTTATTATAATTTAAGTTTATGAATGATATATATAATAAAATGTAGCCAAGAGCAATTTTTTAAATTTGGAATTGTACAATCTCTTTATGTTCCTTACCAAAGATTTTTCTCAGATATTGGGGGAAGTTCCACAAGCAAATGAGTTTCTATACTTAATTCATCTGCTCTTTATCATGTCCTAAGATTTGTATTGGGCTACAGAAACAAAGGTAATTTTAAAATAAGCAATAGGGGGCACCTCGGTGGCTCAGTCAGTCTGGCATCCGCCTTCAGCTCAGGTCATGATCCCAGGGTTCTGGGATCTAGGCCCCTCGTTGGGCTCTTTGCTTAGTGGAGAGCCTGCTTCTTCCTCTCCCTCTGCCACACCCCTGCTCTTACACTTTCTCTGTCTCTCTCAAATAAATGAATGAAGTCTTTTAAAAAAATAAATTAATTAAAATAAATAAATTTTAAAAATAAAAATAAGCAATAGAAGTGCTAAAAAACTTAATGTTGACTCATTAAAAGTGATAGAAATCAACCTTTGTCTTGGGATTAGATAGTAGTTGTGTTTATTACATAGGCCAATATTAATTTATGGAAGGAAAATTAATTAACAGACTTTTTCAATCACAGTTATTTACTGAATTTTTTTATCACAAACAATAACAGAAATTAATCTGTATTGCTATTAATCACAAGTGTGACAAAACAGCAACATGTCAAATTTTAAAAATAAATTTATTAAAGATCAACATAATCAAACTTGTGCTTTCATTTAAGATAATCATTACTTCAATTTATGCTACTATAAATAATGACACTGAGAATATTCCCAAAGATCAATCTTTCCCTGAATATCTAACCACTTCCTTGGGATCGATTCTTCTTATTTTTCCCCAAGATTTTATTTATTTATTTGAGAGAGAGAGCATGAGACAGAAGGTCAGAGGAAGAAGCCGACTCCCTGTGGAGCTGGGAACCTGAGGCAAGACTTGATCCAGACACTCTGGAATCATGAGTTGAGCCAAAGGCAGTTGCTTAACCAACCAAGCCACCCAGGCGCCTAAGATTCTTCTAAGTAGAATTAAGATCAACGCATATGAACATTTTCTGAAGTTTCTAATATATACTGCCAAAATAACTTTTCAAAGAGTTATGTCAATTTATACTCCAATCAATAGACTGAAATATACTCACACTGTTTTCTCATTAATATCCTTTATCACTGATTTGACAAAGAATAAGAAAACACTTTGCTAGTGTGATAGGCAAAAGTAGTTACTACTATTATTATCATTATTTTACTGGGCATCTATACTCCTCTATGAAATGGCTTTTCTAACCCCTGCCCATTTTTCTTTTAAAAGGTAAATGAATTTATGGAGTCTTACGCTGACTGCTTTTAGAGACTGACCTTCTTTAAATGCTTATTCTTTTTCAGTGGAGGAAAACAGCTATATCAGAAACATCTTCATTATGTACTTTTTTAGTTTTCTTGTACTTTTTGAGCTTTCTTCCTGTATACTCTGTCCTCTTTTACGAAAAGAGGAAGAAAGGGATCCATTAAGTAACATGTAGTCATAAATAAACTTTCTGAAACAATCCCAGAGTAAAAAGGAAGTCCGAAGCAGTTTCCAAAACAATAAAATCTATCCTTAAAGGATCAAGAATAAAATCTATCCTTTACTTAAAATATAGTGAGGGAAAGTTAACAAAACTCTACTTTATTTTTTCCTTTATTCAGTATGTCAGTCCCTAAATTATTACACTCAAGAGGGCCCGAAGGTAGTCAAATGAGTAGTTAAGTCCCTACACATAATTAAAACACAATAGACATTAATAGTGATATACCTTCTTCTTCACTAGATGTTTTAGGACAACCATGAGGGAGATAAGTTAATTGGACTTTACGATTTATTCCAGAAAAATGGCCATACCTGAAAAACAAACGACAAGCAAAACAAGTAACATTTAGTAAGTATTCAATGCAATCTCCTAAAGAAAAATTAAACTCGTCTAGAGAAAAACTAAATCTACATATTAATGTGCCTTTCTATTCGTAATTAATTGCTGAATTCTCTAACATATCCTACCAGAAAATCTCCATAAAATAGTTATTCATTTTAATCACATTAAAAATGAAAATACAAAAAAGCTTCTCTACAAAACTCAGACAATTTTGAAGAGATGAAGAAGTATAGAAATATAAAAAAATAAATGTATGGGTATCTAAACGAAATAAGATTCTAAGTGGTCAAATATGTAAAGCTTACAATAGGCATACCGGTGTTATCAATTTCACTTGACTAAAAGAGCTCAAAATTGTTTTTTAATTAAACAACATTTAATCAGTGGTCATGTTAGCAATTTGGCTTTCATCCTAAGTAGTACTTCACAAAATATCCAAATTCTTCTCATCAAAATGAAAAGTAAAACTAAAATAATAACCTTCAAAACAACCATCTATTTTCTCACTGGTACAAATAAAAATCTCACTAGACCTTCACTAATTTCTCTTCAGCTTCAGCAATAAATTACAAAAAGATTAAACTGTAAAGGAAACTTAACAAACTCATACATTAAAAAAAAGAACACAGCAAGTAATTATCAAAGTTAAGGGTTTCAGAAAGATTCTCACATTTCTAATACAGTCTTAAGTTGTTCAAGTTTTGACTTGTTTTCTTCAATTTCAGAATCATTATTTTGCCCCAGCTCCATAAGAAGTTGTCGGGCAATGTCCAGCACTTCCTATAAAATAATAAAGAACTGAATTTTTATGTAACATTGCCATTAACAATTTAAAACCAACAAGAAATAAAATGCACTTGCCTGTAATTGTTTTGGCTTTTTGAGTTTTAATTTCCCCGATTTGTATCCATCACACTTTTCAAAAAGATCAAAAAATCTTATAAAAAAAGACAGCACAGTTAGTCCTTTGCAATAATTAGTATTAATACCATATACTTACACAAACCACTTATAATGAAGATATGGGACTCAGGTCTATGGATTTCAAATACTGTGTGTTCTCTTTCACTATAGAAGGTTGCTCCTCCACTATGGGCAATAAAACTTACTATTCTCCTGAGCACATCAAACTAACAATCACTAGATTATTTTAAAAAGTTTTCTCATGATGGAAACTGAGTATATGATTGTAATACTAAGTATTACATTCTCTGAAGTGACTGCATACCCATACATATCAAAAATGTTTCAACACATATTTATTGGCTCAAGTTTTCAAATTTTATTATTTCCAAATCAAATACTGAAGAGAAATAAGATAAACTTCCATTCTACTAATATTCTTCTAGAAGGTTGAGAGGTTAAAGACTCATAGAAACCAATGAAGAGAGTAACAAACCAAGATTAAACAGAACACCTTAGGATGTTTATGCCTTTCCAGCAGTAAACAAAAGTCAGACCAGATGGATGATAATTGATGGATATTAACATAATTTTCAGATGCTGATACACACAGTTATTTTACATGGATTTTCACTGCATCCAGCAGTTTAAATTAATGGCCAAGAAATGGGGAAACAGATTTTCTATAATATGTGTTAATCAAATCAGGTAATCACCTATCAGAAATCTTAAATTATTCCTCCTAAAACATACTTTTGATGCCTCACTTCCATTTTCATTTTTTGTTTTGGTGTTCGATCCCCATGACGTATCACAGCTATGACACATCTAAGTTCCATCCTAAAATTTAAAAAAAAAAAAAAAATGTTTTCAATTTTCTAACAAAGTTTTCTGTTAAATAATTCAGACTAATACAACAGCTCATTATTTGTTTAGAGCTACCTTTTACATTTATTTGAGAGCTTTCCTAAGAAGAACAGTATTTGTAACAACCAGTTGATTTTATCATATTCAATCTTAAGATTTTTAGAAGCTGGAGGGGGAGTAATATGAAGCTTTATATTAGCTTCCTCTCTAGAGATGGTTATGCTCACACTGGGATAAAAGTAAACGAATGGCAATCCTGGAACTTCATGAAATACTTGTTCTGTAGCATAGATCGTTATAGACTGAGATTTCATTAAAACAAAGCAAAATAAAGCTTTACTTTATAGCTGCTATATTTATTTTGCCCTTGTAAGAACAGAACAGGTATTTCAAACTCAAATTACTAGAAGATAATACAGTCTTAGAAAGAATGCTAGGGGTACTTTAGAGTGTGCCGAACTGAAGCCACAGAATACAACCCTGCAGGATTTTAATAAGTTACCTAAAAAAATGTTATGCTAAATAGTTTGAGAATACTGGTTTAAAAACATTATAAATATTTTTTTGCCCCCCCACCCAACCAAGACTTCTCAGAATTTTTAACATGCTAATGTAAATGTCTAAGCTGTGAATATGAAGCATTTGGTCAACTCACCTGAGTAGCAGGTGAGTTTCAAGCAGTAATTTTCACTAGGAGAATGTTATGAGACACCCTGGCAATATTGTCCTAATTAATTTACTTCAAGACATACCTGTGTATTTTTTCTGTACACACTCAGAAGTTGTAAAACCATCAACTATGAACCTTTAAGTGACATACCTGTTGGCACCTCATTTATTTCTTTGACTTAATTCAATAGTTCTATAATTATCTAAGCATTTTTCAGAATTTTTTTCCCCACAGAATTTTATTTTTAACAATATAAAAGATTTTTAGTCTAGGTGGACCCTGCAAAAGCATATAATCTATTTCTCCATCTGCCAAGTGAATCATATGAAAACATACACAGCAAAGTGTCCAATAACCATCAGAAATTTAATCTCTATTGTAACAGCAGAGACCGATATACAAAACCACACGAATTACTAAAAGAAAATATTCAAACTTACATAGTTCCAGATGTAGTTGGTACAATTGGGATATCTTCAGCTTCTAAGGGTATTGACCAGGGGATATGAAATTGTGGAGCAAGCTCTCTCATTACAATATTGCTTTGATACCAAAAAAAAAACACTAGAAATTAGTTCATTTTAAGACAAAACTCAGTATTTAATGACTAATAATACAGAATCATAAAAGGTCAAACTAGTGATTCTGTGATTATAGCACATAAAAAGTAACTCAAAGAATCAATCCTGATTAAAACAAAGATTAGCAGTTCTAAACTGGTACATTAGAACACACTGAAGAAACGCTATAAATTTGGAATTACTGGGGCGCCTGGGTGGCTCAGTTATTAAGCATCTGCCTTCTGCTCAGGTCATGATCTCAGGATACTAGGATCGAGCCTCGCTTCGGGCTCTCTGCTCAGCAAGAAGCCTGCTTCTCCCTCTCCCACTCCCACTGCTTGTGTTCCCTCTTTTGCTGTCTCTCTCTCTGTCAAATAAATAAAATCTTTAAAAAAAAAATTGGAATTATTTATTATTTACACTAGTTTCAAAGTATAAACCACACTGGAGTTAAATAAATCACTATAACTGCATTATATCCACTCAAAGATAAATTCTGAAAACAAAGATTGTCTCTTCTTTATGGCCACAGGTCATTTCTTTCTTTTTTTTTTTTTTTTTAAGATTTTATTTATTTATTTATTTAAAGTGTGTGAAAGAAGGTGGGGAGGGGCAGAGGGAGGAGAGACTCCCCAACAGGCTCCCCACTGAGGATGGAGCCCTACATGGAGCTCAATCCTAGGACCCTGAGAACTGACCTGGGCCAAAACCAAGAATCGGAAGCTCAAACAACTGAGCCACACAGGTGCCCCAAGGGTCCTTTCTTACCAGTTAATCACTTTTGAAATTACTCTACATACCATGGCTCTTTTTAAACAAATATCCATTATATTTTACTAATAGGGTTAACAATAATTTTATAATTACATGTTAAGTAATTATAAAACATTTTTTGTTTTGTTTCAATTCAGCATTCATGCTAAAATTTAGTAAGCTCCCCCAAATTTCACCTTAAGGGTCAGCTCTCCAATCTTTAAAATATATTATAAAAGCAAACTCCAATTACGACAATACATTTTTTTAATTTATTTTTATTAACATACAATGTATTATTCGCTTCAGGGGTACAGGTCTGTTGAGTCATCAGTCTTAAAAAATTCACAGCACTCACCATAGCACATATCCTCCCCAATGTCCATAACACAGCCACCCTATCCCACCCCCCAGCAACCCTCAGTTTGTTTCCTGAAATTAACAGGCTCTTATGGTTTGTCTCCCTCCCCAGTCCCATCGTGTTTCATTTTTTTCTCTCCCTTCCCCCCAGGACCCCCTTGTCCTGCCTCTCAAATTCCTCATATCAGAGAGATCATATGATAATTATGACAATACATTTTAAAATGTAAGTTTCTTAAGCCTTTGCCATATATACTTTGAAATGGTTTAAAAATATGTCTTGTGAATCTTCTAAATCAAGGTATAAGAAAATAGTTCAAAGAAAATAAAAATCGCATTTCTACATGTAGTAATTTCTTTTGGGTTCACTTGATAATCTCATGAGATTATCTTTAAGTGACATGTAATGATAGAAACAGTATCATTCAAAAGAAGTCTGAATTCCAAATATTTCTATTCTAATCCACTTACTTATTTCATGAATATTCATTTTATACCTTCAAGTAAGAAAATGAAACCTTTTCAACTGTAATCATATACCAAAAACTTGCAAAACAAAGTAACCTAATAAATTAGCTGTAATAATCACTGCATGGGGCGCCTGGGTGGCTCAGTGGGTTAAGCCTCTGCCTTCAGCTCAGCTCATGATCCCAGTGTCCTGGGATGGAGCCCCACATCGGGCTCTCTGCTCAGCGGGGAGCCCGCTTCCCCCTCTCTCTCTCTGCCTGCCTCTCTGCCTACTTGTGATCTCTCTCTCTGTCAAATTAAAAAAAAAAAAAAATCTTAAAAAAAAAAAAATCACTGCATAGCACTTCTAAATCTTTAAGTTAAAGTATCTTTAAGCCATCATCTATACTGGCCATAAATTACTCTGCCTTTGATAATCCAAAGTATAACTCAGGATTTGGTATAGTTCTTTGGGGAATGTCATTTTATGAACATTGATTTTTATTCTAGAGTGCTTTCAGGACCCTGATCATTTGATGTTTGCAATTATTTGGTTTCTGAATAGCTAGTATGCATTAGCTGTAACAAAGGTAAAGAGGAGAAATGTAAAGAAAAATTCTTACCCAAGTATTTTTGCACAATCATCATAATACTTCATGGAATTTTTCACAAAACTGAAGCCATTGACATCACAGACATAGGACTGTCCATTGGCCCGTAACAAATCAAAACCACAAACTGTTTGCTATTTAAAATAAATTATGTTTAAAGTTAGATTTGAATTAGGATCCACAGTTTTTCAGTCTTACAACATATCAAACTTTATAAATGCCTAAAAATTTACTACTGATTATTAGTTGATTTCATAGTAAGTAATAAATGAAATTACCCATCTCTAACCTGAGTACTCTGAAAATATATAAAACACTCCATATGACCATTTGAGTTCCCCCATGAAATAAATATAGAACCAAAATGTGTAAGAGATAAGAGAGGCCAAAAAATAACATACTATAAGATGTTCTTCAAGTAGCACTTAATTAAAAAACAAGAGTAAACGTTTTTCAAGGCTTTGTTAAATTTTGTCATAGTAGAAATTCTACTGCTTTAATCCAAAAATGCATAAAGGAAAACAGTTTCGAAGATATGTCCCAGAGGAAACATCCAATTACCCCTATGAATCTTTTTTTTTTTTTAACAAGATTTTATTTGAACCCCACCCAGTGGGGGGGTTCAAACTCAAACCCCGAAATCAAAAGTTGCAGGCTCTACTAACTGAGCCAGCCAGGTGCTCTGCCCTCTGAATATTTTACACCCTGACAACTATATCCTTGTGAGCACCTGAAATACATTTCTTTTATTCGGGAGAAGAAAACAGTTGCAAGTCTCCTGCTCAGGCTCCTGAAATTTTCTATCTTCTGCATCTTATATTCAAATTATCACATACCAGTATAATGGGATTTTAAGTCATGTCTTTTGGAATCCTGGTATTACAAAATTAAAACAATTTATATAAAGCTATTAAAATGTATTTATAGACAAATATTCCTTTCACAAAAGTGACTTCAATATATTAAGATGTAAAGGATTATTTAATACACTAGTAATACACTAGTCTTTACATTATATACCCAAGACAAGACTTCAAAAGGTAAAGTTTATCCTTTAAAAGATCAGATTGTACTACCTCGGTTTAAATCTTTAACATACATTATTGGAAGCCTAATGATATAGACTGAGGGAATTAGTCAAATGCTAGAAATAAAAAGTTTTCTTTAAGAAATGTATTCGTATTTGCTTTCATGAACACATTTTAACATATACTATAAATGGGCTAAAGGATGTATTGCCAAAGCTAGAAGACTGCTAAGGACCTTTTTTATTCAACAAAGCAAGCATTTATCAATTCTGAGTAAATAGTACTTTTAACCAGTTGTTTTTACCATGTTAAACAATATCTCTAAACACTGGTTAATGCTACTGCTTTAGTTAAGTCCATCAAACTTTAATTTCTGAACAAATAGGCAAAATTCCCTTTTATATAACAGAAAGAATACAGAAAAACAAAGGCCTTCATTTACTGTATATTTTTATTAATGGCACTATAAGAATCTCCTGAGAAGTACATAAACAGTTCAAATATATCATTTTTAATCTTCTGAGCTGATTTCTCCTATTAAATGCCCATGTAACATTTCTTTTACTCAAGAGAGAAAATTAGAATTTCTTTTACAAGGGTCTATGTGGCCTGTAAAACATCTTACCTTAAAAGCAAGGCAGACTTTCCAGGCAATTAATTTCTCTCGTGCATTAAGAATAACAGGGTATCTAACTTCTTTTCCCTCACTGTCTCGTTCCACCTTGCCATCAAGTGCTGGAGATTTTCGAGCTTCAGCATGTGCATAATCTGGACCCACTGTATAAACCTTTAATAAATGTTAAAATATACACATTAAAAATGTATATATTATATAAAATGTATTAAATTTTAAAAAGCAAGACAACAAATCAAAAGAAAAAAAATCAATAAAAAATACTTCAGTCTCCAGACTGTTCTTTTCACACTTCTTTCTATTTCACATGCCAAAATTTTCAATACACTGGAAAAGATTATAAATAATTAATTACATGGCAAAACTGGTAACATGAAGTTCTGTTCTCTACAGAGAATGATTATACTGAGCGGTATGAGGGAACACAAGGTTGTATAGGATGTGATCTTTCCCTAATTTTTTTTAGCTTAACCAAAGGAGAAGTACAAATAATTATAAAAACGTTATAGAAGGAAGTAATAGCCAAAAGAAAGATTGTGGTGGTGGTGGTGAGGGGCAGCATACGCTGAAAGGCAGACAAGAAAGGGAATAGCACCCTAAGTAAAGGTAGTAAACACAGAGGCCAGAAGCATTAAAAAGCACAATGTATTAAGGCAAGAGTAAGTTATTTGGCGTCATTTATACAGTAAGAAATAAGGTTCATAGAACAGACTGGGAAATATTCTGTATGCCACCCTTATGAATCTGATCATTACCCTACGGTCAACAAAATCCATAAGAGAATTTTAAAGGAGAGGTTCACGATCAGGTTTATACCTTAGAAAAAAAGATACTCTCATTAGACAGAGATTAGTTGAAGGTAAAGCAATTAAGACCTTATCTGTCACCCAAGGAAATTTCAAACACATTGTTATATTACACTACAGTTGTCACAGATCTCAGAGCATCATTTACACTAATCAGTGCTTAGAAACTAGTGGCTATTAGACCCTTAACCCACTATATTTTATTATTTAATGTCCTTTTAAAGAAGCACACATATTATTGTATCACAAAGTTGGTTTTTAAATATTTTTATAACTACATTTCAAAAAAAACTGTCTCCCTGGCAATCTTGTTTTGGGCATCAAAGAACATGATTCTAAAACAAGGGTCCACAGGCTTCAGACTGCCAAAGGCATTCATAATACAAAATAGATAAAGAACCCCTAGTCAGTCATAAAAAGAAAGGGATCCAGAATAGAGTCTATCCTTGGGGTAATCTCTTTTTCTGTATTACTGGTAAACTAAAGGCAAAATTAAAATATACTGTAATCAATCCTACCTTTACATCAGTACCATCTGTAGGCATAAACTCTTCATATATATACGAGCCTGTTTTTCGTACATTGCTTTCTGGGGAATAAACACTACTTCTACTGCCAATCTGAAAACAAAAGATGTCCACAAATATAAAAGCTAAGTTATTCATCTCATTTTTATAATATAACCTCTTTATCATCTATTTTCATCTTAGATATTTCCAAAAACTTTTATTGGTGAACAAATATTTCACAACACTTACTATAGAGTTGACAGTGCATTATTTTCTGATGTAATGTAACTTATATGTAAGTTAAGTAGCATAAGAATACAATGAACAGTAAGAATAATGCTCCTAAGATTCAATCATGTTCTTGCATGTTCTTGCATGCATCTCTTTTGTTCACTTTTTCCACCACAGAATTTTCCACTGTATAGGTACACCATAATTCATTCATTTTATTAATGAATATTTAGGTTGTTTTCTAAGCTTTAGCCAGTAGAAGAGTGTTGCTTTCAATATTCTTGTAAGTGTCCCAGGTGCAAGGGCATTTCTAAGGTACATACTACAAGTAGAATTACTAGGTGATAGAATTACTAGGTGCTCATATTCAACTTACAAAGATAATACTAAAATATTTTATGAACTATTTTAACAATTTAGAGTCTTCTAGCAATGTATGTGAGTTCCCACTGCTCTACATCCTCATCTATAATCGGTATGGTTAAACTTAGTATTTGCCACTCTAATGGATATAAAATAGTACCTCACTGTGTTATACTCTGTATTTCCATAATTGCTTATAAGTATACGTGCATCTTTGATTTTAATACACTGTTAAATTATGTTGCTGAGAGGAAAAAGGCTATATTAATGTACATTTCTGCTAACAACATTTGGGCTTATGCCTGTTTTGCAACTATCTCGATCTTTTTGATTTTTTGCCAATCAAAAAAGTAATTAAATGTCATTACCTTTTAGACTTCATTTGCATTTACTTTATTATGGGTACAGTTTTGAGCACACTTTCATGAATGTAAATGTTATTGATATTACCTGTGTCTATGAATTATCTATCTTGGAGGCCATTTTTCTTACAAACTACTGATCTTTGCTTGTATTTCTCATATGCCAGATACATAAATGGAAGATAGAAAGAAAATCAAGTAATTTTCTTGGTATTTTGTACATAGAAATTTTGCATAAACAACATTAAATAACTAAAATAACATCTTGCTTTTCTAACAAAGAAGGATATGTTTGAATTTATGCCTGAATGGTACATTTTTATTTAATCTTAATTCTACTGAATACTTGGTTACTTTTAGTATAATTTCTATGAAGTATGAATAACAGTATCCCCTAGGATAACAAAGGCTTACCTTTCGAAAAAGTCTTTGACTTCCACCACCTGCAGACGTGGGATAGTAAATGTAAACATTGTGATCCTCTGCACTGACCGGCTTTTCTACAAATGGCTTTTGAAAAACTTCACCATTTACTTCTACATGATCTTCCCCTTCAATGAGATTGCATTCTAAAAATCAAACATAACAGCAGGAAAAATTAAATATTGTATATTAGCTACATTTAACATTATTGTTACAGTTTTTACTAGAATAGAGTTTACAAAGAAAAGTAACTGTGGATAACGTATGATTTTATTTTAATTAAAAAGTCATGTAGAAGTGCCTGGATGGTTAAGTTGGTTAAGTGTCCCACTTTTGGTTTCAGCTCAGGTCATGATCTCATGGGTCTGAAGATGGAGCTCAGTCTTGGCTCCACACTAAGCAGGAAGTCTGCTTCAAGATTCTCTACACTGGGGGCACCTGGGTGGCTCAGTGGGTTAAGCCTCTGCCTTCGGCTCTAGGTCATGATCTCAGGGTTCTGGGATCGAGCCCCGCATCGGGCTCTCTGCTCGGCAGGGAGCCTGCGTCCTCCTCTCTCTCTCTCTGCCTGCCTCTCTGCCTACTGTGATCTCTATCTGTCAAATAAATAAAGTCTTTAAAAAAAAATTTTTAAAAAAAAAGATTCTCTACACTGGGCTGCCTGGGTGGCTCAGTGGGTTAAGCCTCTGCCTTCAGCTCAGGTCATGATCTCAGGGTCCTGGGATCAAGTCCCACATCAGGCTCTCTGCTAGGCAGGCAGCCTGCTTCTTCCTCTCTCTCTCTCTCTCTCTCTCTCTCTCTACTTGTGATCTCTCTCTGTCAAATAAATAAAATCTTAAAAAAAAAAAAAAGATTCTCTACACTGCCCCTCCCCTAACCTCTCTCTCTCTAAAAAAATAAATCATCTTTAAAATAATATTTATGCAAAAATATACACCAAGATTTATGATCTGACATTAAAAACTACACTTATTCTTCAAAATCTTATGAACCTGACATTTTACCTTATCATCCCACAGAATTCAATATTAGATATGAAATGATGACAACAAGAAAGACTGAGAAATCTTTCTAGATTGCTATCATCTTCTGAAAATTATATGGAATTATTTGTATCGCAGATACCACAAAACATGAAATTATTTAAGTTATTAAAGTAACCTATATAAAGTAAGCAAGCAATCCAATCAGGAAGTTAATTTTTCGCTCTAGACAAATGAGAGAAGGTCTCTGTTACTGATAATAAATGCTATATCTAGTTTTTTAACAGAAGTTGCTTTAGAGTACAATAAAATCATCAAAATTCCCCAAAATACCCTTGTCAGAATATTAACTCTTAAAGCAGATAAACATTTACCTTGGCTTTTTAGAATGTTACATATAACTTACATGCTATGTTTTAGATAACCAGAAAAATGAAGCAAAGCTTTAGGATATTAATAAGTAGTGATATTTCTGAATCCCAGTCATCAGAAATTATGGTATCTTAGCATGAAGTTTCTAATCCTGAATTCAACAACCACAGATAAATCACCTGATTACCGATCACCCGTAATCAATACAAATTTATTAAGCATGTAATTCAAAAATTCTTTATGATTCCCAGATATATGTTAAATGTAGAACAAAGAAAAGTAGGATGTATAACTCTTAAATTATTAGCGGGCCTTTTAGCTTATAGTGGCACACTTTAACTGAACATAATGCTCATTAAAAAAAAGTAAATAGAATAGTATGAGTTCTCTGAATTCCTTCTACTTAATTAGAAAGGAAATAACTCAAAAGTATGTTGAATGACAAAAGGTAGCTTGCTCAAAATCTCATGTTCTTACCTTTGGGATTATTTGGGTCACGGTTCAAAATTGCATAACGAGGAAGTAAAATACCTTCAGCTTGAAGAATACTATATACTTCTCTTCTGAAGAAAAAGGAAAACATTTTTTTAAATTTTATTGCTCTATTTGAAGAGTACATTATTACTATTGTATTAATTAAAAAGGCATGGATATCAAGTCTTCTTATTTTTTAAATAAACAAATCATTTAAAAATATTAAACATTTCTAAGGAAATATTCAGCCACAATAGAGCAAAAATGTATGCACAATACTTTATGTGACATATTAAAACATTAATATTTAAAAGTGGGAATAAAAATGTATAAAAAGAAATGGTTAAATGCTAAGTTGTGATATGGCATGACAGCATATTATCTATTAAAAACTTTATACTCAAAGAATATTTAATGACATGGGAAAAATGTTCATAGTATTTTAAAAGAAAAGTGACCCTCATTTTGTAAAATGTGAGTGGATGTATGTATTTCTTTCTACATGAAAAAATATGATAGACAGTAGTAGGGTTAAATGCCTTTCTTTATGCTTTTATTTTCCAAATTTCTTAAAATAAATATACATTTACATATTTATGTATATATTTATAACATAGAAGCATGTATTAATATGTAAATCTAGGGAAAATGTTTTAAAATGTTAGATATTGTACTATTTAGAAGAACAGAAAAAATAACAAAACCAGAAAACTATAGGGCCTTAAACTTTATAATGCATTTTCACACATATAATCTCATACAATAATCCTAACACAAAAGAAAACTAAATATTGGTGAAATTATACGGTAGCTATCAGAGTGAAACATCACTCAAACAAAATAAATAAATATATTTGTATTCTACAGTTTTTCTTAGAAATCCATGCTTTCAGCCTGTAAAATGAATGCTAAGATATATCATGAGATATTTTTCAAAACAGTTGCACTATTCCATTAAAAAAAAAAGTCTAGTTCAATGAGTACAACCCTAATTTCATCTTCAGTCAAATGACAGAGAAACTGTTCATAATTTCAAATTTAAACTAAATTTTCAATGGTTTGGTAGGCTCTGGAAATTAAACAAACCTAGTTTAAGTTCTTGTTCCACTATTGACTGAACTACTTGTGACTCTGGGCAAATTTATTCATCTCCCTGAGTCTCAAGTTTCTTCATCTATAAAACTGGGTATAAATTCCTATTTCTAAGTATTATTTAGAGGATACCACAAGTTAATATATATGAAAACACCTGATGTCAGCTTACAGTAGACATTAAATAAATGTTATTTTTCCTTCCCTTAGTTCAGCCATCTCCATCACTCACCTATCTTGTATGAGATACTGCATATTCAAGTCATTGATTACAAATGGATTCCTGAGTTTTGCATAGGCAACTGCTTTGTCCAGTGGAAATCCTAAGAACACATATTATTAACATATTCCGTATAATCTCAAGATAAGTTGACATCTATAATTTTATCAATTTGATTCTGTATCACTTCCCATAAAAGGTAAATTTAATTATGCATATAATTGCTTTCCATACAACACATGGAAAAACACATAAAACTTGACATGTATTAATAATAAGTCTTATTTTTTCCTAGTTAATTTTATTGATAAGGCATAACAAGCCAGTGGCTATATAGCCAAATAGAGAGCACTGACATGTTAGTCAATGCCTGATTATTCAAAGTCACCTAATAACAAGTTAAGATTACTTCATATACAAAAGAGAAATCTAAATATAATTAAGTGTATCACAATTACTTGGTGTTTAAAAAAAAACAAGTATAACTTCTTCTCACTTTAGTTTGATATTTATACATATAAATTGCCAAGAATTCAAAGAACTTATGCACCTTTTAAAAACAGCAAAAACAAAAGTTAATTCACATACAATAGATATGCTCTAAATATAAAATTTATGCATAGAATCATACTTGCTGTTACTAGGTCACTGTTAAGGTATTAGAAATTAATTCCCTAAAATTTCTAGACTTTGATAAAACTACTAATTACATGGAAAACAAACCAAATGGCAGATATAGTAAGAGGTCCAAAAAAAATCTAAAGCATTTAATAATTATACTGCTCTCTCTGTATTGACACTAAAAGTCTCCAATTTTATCCGTCAATACATATTATGAAGAGATGGTGTGGCAGTATACCACAAAGTCTAATAAAACAGGGTTCAAAATCCTGGCTCCATCTTTCATTAGCTTTGTGATCCTGGGTAAGTTTATTTAACATCGCTAAGCCCCTGATTCTCAGCTGTAAATGGGTATTATACCAGTCTTATCTAGTAGAGTTTTTGAGGAATTCAATAAAGGAGTATATATAAAACAGTATAGTCCCTGACAGAGTAGGCTCCCAATAAATATTTAATATTCCTTAAGTGACAATATTTTGTGAATATCTTATCTATGGAAAAGCGTAAAAATCAGTAAGCATGCATAACTTTAGAATTTAACCTTGGGTACTACCGTATTACTGTGAAGACACTGTATTTTGTACTATTATCAGAACAGCTGGAGGGGAAGTAAGTACAAAGGCATACTGAAGTTAACAAAACTAAACAAACAACTATGGTCAGTTTAAAAAAACATTCCTAAATTCCTCTTGGCTTTTAAAATTTAATGTACCAAGAATAACTTCCACAAACTACAAACCCTTCTCGTTTTGTAAAGACTGAGAAGAATTCATCACTTGTCATCAGGATAGCTCAGTGTCTATGATTTAAAGCATCTTAACAGAATTCAGCGTATAGGAACCGCTGTAACAGTTTCCTGGTTCTGTTACTGCTGTTAAAGAGGAACTTTTTCCTTACCAAGAGACAGTATATGGGATATGACCTTAGATAGCAGCTAGTTTTTACAGGCAAAAACAAATAAGAAAGGTAGGAAAATGGTAGTAAAAACCATGTGGTAGTAAGGGAAGACCACCTTACCCTGAAGGATAAGCCAATTTTAAGATTCTCTGAAGTAAAGGACTTCAATTTATAAAGACCAGGACCTTGGCTTGTCTATAGGATATAGGAGCACAAAAAATCTCAACCATGTTCCATCTCCTTCTTGCTGAAGGAGAAATTTCTTGAACACCTAACTAAAGTAAAACTTTAACATAGCTGGAGATTACGTGTTTTGGTAACAAAGTGATTTAATATGAATACATTTATATTGAGCATGCATCTTTTAAATTATAGTTCTTAGAAATTCACTTAATTCACAGATTCTTGGGTTACAAACTTTCAAATATTCACTAATAATTTTGATTTGTGGGTTTTACTATGAAGACATAATTCGCCATCAAGTAATACTTAAGTTTAATTAATACTTGTTTGATTCATAGAAAAACCAAGTAAAATTGAAAATTCAAACATTAAGCTCTTTAGAAATAAAATATGAATATATATATGTGGAAAGATAGATCATTTTCTGTATGGCAAAAGCATATGGCTAAAAATATCCAATAATTCGAGAATTTATTCTAAGTAACTTAGAGTAGCTCCAACAAAGATATGCATTAAAAGAGTTCATAACAACCATATTTCTAATAGTGAAAACTGGAGACTAACTGTTAAGATAATAGTTAACTATGTCATAGGACAATCTCATGATGACACCCTATGATGTCATTAAAAATTAGGTCTTTGGGGTACCTGCGTGGCTCAGTGGGTTAAAGCCTCTGCCTTCTGCTCAGGTCATGATCCCAGAGTCCTGGGATCGAGACCCGCATCGGGCTCTCTGCTCCGCGGGGAGCCTGTTTCCTCCTTTCTCTCTCTCTGACTGCCTCTCTGCCTACCTCTGATCTTTGTCTGTCAAATAAATAAATAAAATCTTTTAAAAAAAAATTTGGTCTTTGAAGAATGTAATAGAGGGGGAAAAAACTTCTTGATATAACTAATGAAAAACTTAAATATAAAATGACATATACACAACCACAGTAAATTTGTTTAGAAAAATACACAGAGAAAAAAATGCCTGAAAAGAAATACATAAAAATATTAACATCACTGATCTGTGAGATGGGTGAATTTAATTTTATTTTCCTGTTTTATCTAATATTCTACAATTAATATGTATTAGGTTTATTATAAGACGATAAAGGGAGTTCCCACCCCATTCTTTAATACCTTTAGAATGGAACGAAATAAGACAATCACATAAAGGCCAGTTTTCTACTGGTTCATTCAAAATAACATCTTCTTCAAATACTACTACTGTGATATATTTAAACAAGGAGATCCGTTCAAGAATTTCCTTCATTGGTTTGGATTTGGATTTCTTTGCCATGGAACATATTCCAACCACAATCTGTCTTTCTGGTGGCTAAAACATAGAGAAAACAACAACAAAATCAAGTTGACTTAATACAAACTCCAAAGTAGAGCTATATTAAATCTTTTTCAGAAGTAGATGCAGGATGTTATCAATACAAATGATACATTAACCAAAAAGGCATTTTTTAAAATTAAATTTTTGTTATAATAAATAACAAATAATAGAAAATAATACAAAAGTCTGGAAAACTTTCACTTTCAGGACATTGTTACTATTTTTGTTCTGATTTTAAACTTAAAAAATACTCCTTCCTTAACTATTTCTAGTACTTATTTACCTTTGCCACAACAAGAAGGGAAAAATGAGGGCCAAAACCTATCTAATCCAAGTAAAAAGACCAATGAGAGTGGGATGAAACATTTTCTTGCCTAAAATAAGATATTCTGACTATAAAGCTGTATTATATAGTGTTAAACTATTTTTGTAGTTTGAGCTTGAATAGGAGTTGGTCAACAACTTGGAAGAAAATTTTGGAAAAAGCCAAATTGCTAACAGAGGTGTCAATGTCTTTGAACTCCAATCTTCATACTAAATATTCCTGTTTAATGGTATTGCTCATATCCTAATGCCCTTGCTATAGCTCAAAGGCCACAGTTCGTCCTAAAACAAAAAAAAAAAAAAAAAAAAAAAAAAACCCAGGATATACAGGATATAGAAATACCTTTAAGTAACTCAGAGGTTTACAAAATTACTCAAGATTCATTCTGAGATCTTTGCATTCAAGTAATGAAGAGTTTTATCAAATAAATAAAGCTGTGCCCAGTTTCTTTTTTTTTTTTTTAGTTTTCCCTCGTCCATATTTTATGTTTCACATAATATTGTAATCTGAGCTCGAAAGTGTTTTACTAGCCTTTCTCTTATTGTAAATCTAAAAATAAAATTGGGTAACATCAGATTTAAATTACTATTCTTCTTATATCTAAAATTAGATTTCTTCATTCCCTCTTCTAATTCATGAAATTTAGAGATTAAACTAGTATTGAATTTGACTGTAAATCCTAATCTCCCTGGGATTTGCTGTTTTTCCCCCTTGATCATCCACTTTTATGTACCGTTATTCAATTCTTTCCCGATTAAAAGACTCTATATAGCTTATGATGCTCCTAATGAATAATTCCCCACCAACAAAATATATTTGCAAATGATATATCCATTAAGGTGTCAATTTTTATTTATTTTTATTTTTTTAAGGGGTCAATTTTTAAAATATATGAAGAACTCATACAACTCAATACCAAAAAAATCCAATAATGCAATTAAAAAATGGGCAGAGGACCTTAACAGACAGTTCTCCAAGGAAGACATACAGATGGGCAAAAGATTCATGAAAAGATGCTCAAAATCACTAATCATCAGGAAAATGCAAATCAAAACCACAATGAGATATCTATCACCTCACACCAGTAAGAATGGCTAGTATCAAAAAGACAAAAAATAGCAAGTGCTATCCTGTACTGTTGCTGGGAATGTAAAATGGTATGGCCACTGTGGAAGATAGTATGGAAGTCCCTAAAAAAATTAAAACTGTTATTAAATTATTATATAATATTGGTTTAATAATTAATAGTGACAGTATATAATTAATCATTATTGGTTAAATAAATACTGATTAAATTAATATTAATTAATTAATTAATTAATTAAAATGCCATATGACCCATTAATTCTACTTCTGGGTATTACCAAGAAAACAAAAACACTAATTCAAAAAGATATGCTGAGTGCATCCTTATTTACAAAAGCCAAGATATGGAAGCAATCTAAGTGTCCCTCAATAAATGAATGGATAAGGAAGGTATAGTAGATATATTAGTCAGCCATAAAAAAGAAAAAAATTCTTGTTACTCACAACAACATGGATGGACCTACAGGGTATTATGCTAAGTGAAATAAGTCGGTCAGAATGACAAATACCCTATGATTTCACTTAACATGTGAAATCTAAAAACCAAAACAAACAAAAAAAACTAATAGACTCAAATACAGAAAACAGACTGGTGGCTGCCAGAGGGAAGGGGGTAGGTGGGATGGGTAAAAATGGCGAAGGGGATTAAGAGGTACAGACTTTTAGTTATAAAATTGTGGAGATGAAAAAATATAGCAGAGGGAATACAGTCAATAACAGTAACTTTGTTTGGTGGCAGATGGTGACTATATTTATCATGATGAGCATTTTATAATGTATATAATTGCAGAATCACCATGTTGTACACATGAAACTATTATGTCCATTATACTTCAGTAAAAAAAAAGCACTCAACCTAACATTCCCTATTGTTCTACAATTTACAAAAAGGCTACTAAGTTAAATTTTATTTATTACAGATCTATTTAGTATCTATTCATTAGTTAAAATGATCTAGAAACTTCCAAGTTTAAAATGCACAAATAAACCTGCATTATTAAGGCAAAATTATAGGATTTTCCTATTAGGTAGAACCTTGGAAGCATGAAAATAACTTTAAAACAGATTTAAGTTATTTTGATAGATTTAATGTCTAAAATGAAATTCATACCTTTATTTTATTTTTCTGAAATTCTTTCCTTTAATCTTAAAAATAGGAGAATGATCTGAAACAAATTATTTTATCAATCTGCAGGCCAAATGAACCAAATCAAGTTTCTCAAAAGTGTCAACTATGCACCATAAATGTAAACTCAATTTAATTAGTACCAATATTCTAAGAATTACACTAAATGCTAAAGTTAGATAAACAGAAACTACCTATCCTCAAAGTGCTACGAATTGAACAGATCACAGTAATAATGTAGTACTTTATGCTACGTGGAATACAAGTATATATGTCAAGGTACAGAAATAGTACTGTGGGGGCACCAAGGTGGCTCAGTCAGTTAAGCGACTGCCTTTGGCTCAGGTCATGATCCCAGAGGGTCCTAGAATAGAGCGCCATGTCAGGCTCAGCAAGAAGTCTGCTTCTCCCTCTCCCTCCACCCCTCCCCCTGCTTGTGTGTGCTCTCTCTCTCTCAAGTAAATAAAATCTTAAAAAAAAAAAAAAAGTACTGAGGAAGAAGTATTCAAATCTACAAGGAGAAGGGGAAGGATGTATAGGGAATATGAGCAAGGTTTTGAAGAATGAAAAACAATTCATAAGGTACCCCTCAGAAAACGGCATTTCAGGGGCAGCTGGGTGGCTCAGTTGGTTGAGCCTCTGCCTTTGGCTCGGGTCATGATCTCAGGGTCCTGAGATCGGGCCCCGCATGGGGCTCTCTGCTCGGTGGGGAGCCTGCTTCCCCCTCTCTCTCTGCCTGTGATCTTTCTCTCTGTCAAATAAATAAATAAAATCTAAAAAAAAAAAGTGGGGGGGGGCATTTCACAGAGATGAAGAAATACATACAAGAGCGAAGAGGCATAGTACAACATTGACTAATATGTGAAAAAAAATTGATATTGTTTAAACATAAAAGGTAGAAGGGAGGAGAGACTAGTACAGTTCTAGATATAAGGGACAGACAATATTTGTAAGAAATGGACTTGATCTGTCAGTGATGTTCACAGATGAACTCAGAAGAACTCAGGCGAAAAGGGGTAGGCTAGCAGAGGCTGAGTCAATAGTACTTTCTAGCTTAAGGCAGACAGAAAAAAATATCTTTTATTCATTGGATTTCTGCATAACACTTTAGATGACAAAATATTTTGCTGGTAAGAGAAGCCTGAAAATCATTTTTTTCTGGGGTAAGGTGGGGGTGGAATAGGTTTTAAGTGAATGACAGTCTCATTGGCATTTCAGACGTGTTACAACACTGTGAAAATGGTTGATGAAAATGGATGCAAAGAGTCATCCAATAGCTATTTTTGTTTTTTGGGTTTTCTTCTACTCTTACAAAGTATAACGGGTTTTGATTTGAAAACAAAATTATAAGGGCGCCTGCATGGTGCAGTTGGTTAAGAGACATACTCCTGGTTTCGGTCAGAGTCCTGAGATCAAGCCCTGTTTCGGTCTCTGCGCTCAGCATGGAGTCGGCTTGGGACACTCTCTCACTCTCCTTCTGTCCCTCCCCACTCTCTCTCTGTGTCTCTCAAATAAATAAATAAATCTTTTAAAAAATTATCTTTTCAACTGGAAATATAAGAAAAAACAAACGTAAGGTTGTATCTTAAATCAGTTTTCACGGTGAAGCAATCTACTTCTAAAGGGAAAACAAGTAAGAAAAATGTTGAGCTCTCACCATAGCACACCACCCAACTACCCTATCCCCTCATCCCTCCCACTCCCCTCCCCTCCAACAGCCCTCAGTTTGTTTCCTGAGATTAAGAGTCTCTTATGATTTGTCTCCCTCTCTGGTTTCAACTTATTTCATTTTTCCCTCCCTTCCCCTATGATCCTCTGTCTTGCTTCTCGAATTCCTCATATCAATGAGATCATATGAAAATTGTCTTTCTCTGACTGACTTATTTTGCTTAGCATAATCCCCTGTAGTTTCATCCATGTCATTGCAAATGGCAAATTTCATTTTTTATGGCTCTATAGTATTCCATTGTGCTATGGTGAGCACTGTGAATTGTGTAAGACTGATGAATCACAGACCTGTACCCCTGAAACAGACAACACATTATATGTTAGTAAAAAATAAAATAAAATGGCAAAAAAAAAAAAGAAAAATGTTGAGCTAACGTAACTATAGTAAAATGAACATAATAAATGTGTGTTATTCCCAAAGATTCAGTACAGCTATACATCCTGGTAGATCAGATCAAAAAGAAAACAAGACTCATGTTCCTATATACCTCTCCGGATACTCGAGGTAGCCTCTCCATCTAGTCACACAGTTACAGACTTCTGAAGAGTTAATATATAAGGCTATCTTTGGGTCAACCACCACTTTTATTGACAACATGACAAATTTAAAGAAGCTGGCTAAGTCCTTCTTTAGTACCTTTAAAATTATCTCCTTCAACTTATTTCTTTATCTTCATGTACTTTTTAGGTACTTCTGTATACAAGAAACCCTTTTGGTTTATGGCCCTGATTATTCTCTCCTTGCCACGTTTTCAACTGAATCCTGTGTTATGCTAGGCATATCAGTGAACATATCGTGAAAGACACTAAAATTAGCATCATTAAACAACTTAGAAGTCTGACCCCTAATGGATTTCTTGCCGTACCATAGATTCAATAATGTTACTAGTGAAATATAATATGCTTTTTCAGTGCAGAAGATTTCCAACAAATTTCTATGTGCAAAAATGTCTTCACGATTTAGATACGATTAATTCACCCTGACAGTGATTAGTAAGAAGCCTATATTGTACTGGTCTTCTCTCACCAAAAAAACAACTTACAGACTCATCTTCTTCCTCCTCATCTTCATCTGTATGGTGGAAGAAATGTCGGTAATTTCCTGAGTTTATTTCTGTATCTTCAGGCCCAACAAAGAATCTGGGGGCCTCACTCATTTTTATTTCATTTGATACAGATATAAAGCACTATACTAAAACTGCTTCTAAATAAACCATTCTATCTAAACTAGCTGACAGAGCTCTGTCACAGCTTGTTTCTGCTTATACAATCACTTGAAATTGTGATGACAGTTAGTTGGCAAATGTTCTTCTGTTCTCAGATATCATTGCTTCATTGTTGATGAAGTTTAAAAGACAAAGAGTGAGGTTATTACTTCAGTGAGTTGATGCAGTAATCTTTCTACCTAAAATGCAATAAAAAAATTAATTTTGGAGACTGTACTTCAAAAATATTCATGTAAATGACACTTGTAAAATCCTAATCAGTAACTTCATGCATACCTTCAAATGAAATGACATTTGCTTCCATAAAATATAAAAAATTAAGCTCTAATCTTCAATAACCTACATTTTAGCAATTTGACAAACTGATTCAAAATAAAAGGACAGTAACAAAATAACAAAGTAACAATAACAAAAATACACACTAAATTCTTCATGTCCAAAAATATCTAACAAATGAGAAAATTATTCAAATTATAACAAAATTCCATTAAAAGCTAAATACTTCTGCAATGCACTTAAGAATACCTGAATAGAATGGAAAAAAAAAAACCATAAAGTGTAATATGGGTTTAAAACCCACTGACATCTATAAATCAATCTGAAATTTGATTAAACCAATTTTAAAAGACTAACTAGAAAGTTCAGGGAATAAAAACCGTTTCGCATTCTAGTCTCAAAAAAAATATATCAACAAAATAAAATTAGAATAAAAACAAGATTTCATTATAACAGCAGTTCTTAAACTTTTAAAAGTCAGAAATTCCTTGGCTAGCCTAAAAAAACCTACAGATCTTCTCCTCAGAAAAACATGTACATGTGTAATAAATTCTGCAAAAAATTTTATGTGACTGACATCCAAGCTTTTCTATATAAACTGATGCTCATGAACATCAGTTTAAGAACTCTCATATAACAGTGATATCTCAAAACATCTTTACCAAAGCTGTTTGTATTACTGTTCCTTGGTCATATTAAAACTAATAACCTACCAAGATGAAACCACATATCAAATAATTCATTTGCTTATTGGTAATATAGTAAATTATTTGATCAAATATTCTTAGAAGTTGGATTATATATTAGAACCACAAAGCCTAAACCCAAAACCCTTTTTCCTAAAGATCTAATTCTAGTTTAATTGGTGACTCCCTATTAAATATTAAAACCGTAGTGTACCTAGCCAGGCTTCACTTTATGCAACTTTAAATTAAAATTGCACAGGGTTACAAAATTTGAAACAGCTGGTGATTAAAAAATTAAAGTAAAATACTTGCTCATGAATACCAAATACTGCTCAACTCTGATTTTTATATTGGAAACTACCATGCTATTAAGTATCCACACTCAAAGAAGTGGTTCTCAAACTTCACATATCAGAATCACCAGAGGGCTTGTTAAAATATTAAACTAAAAAAAAGTCTCAAAGTAGGACCCAATACTCTAAAAATTCCAACGTGATGCTCATGCTGCTGGCCTGGAAATCACACATTGGGACGCACTGCTCTAGACTTTGACAAAACTGGGTTAGATAGCTTTTGCTGATAACTGTCCTTAACTTAGTTAAGTTGTTAACTTAATTAAGTTGTCCTTAGATCTGTGTCCTTAACTAAGTTACTGAAACTCCAGCCACCATCTGTAAAACAGGGTAAATCTCATTAATTATTATGCAAATTAAATGAAAATGAAGATACAATGGCAATTAGCACAAGGTAAGCATTTAGTAAATGTTAGCTATTTATTTATCTTGCTGGCTCTTATAATTAAAACCTAGATTGGGGCACCTGGGTGGCTCAGTGGGTTAAAGCCTCTGCCTTCGGCTCAGGTCATGATCCCAGGGTCCTGGAATCCCAGGATCCCGCATCGGGCTCTCTGCTCAGCAGGGAGCCTGCTTCCTCCTCTCTCTCTGCCTGCCTTCCTCTCTGCCTACTTGTGATCTCTGTCTGTCAAATAAATAAATAAAATCTAAAAGAAAAAAAAAAGACCTAGATTCCTTACCTATCTTTACTGGCTCAGAACAAATACAAACAATTCAGTTTAGAAGGTACCTACTTAGCACCCACGTAATGAAGCCACAGAAACTCCTTTTTGCTGCTGCAGCCGACACTGGAGACTTCATGACATGTTTTCCAGTCTTACCACACTGCTTGAGACTATCACGAACACTACTGCCTGGAAAAAACACTCCTCTCCTTCACAGATATACCTCGGTCAAAGCTGCTTAATTTTTAAAATGATACCACTGATCAAGCATCAGTCCTCCCTAGTATTCATAAACCCACCTTTCTTGAAAAGCCTGATTTTCCTGAAACCCTAAAAGCAGTTTCCAATGCAAGCACTGTTGTAAATGGTAGCTCCAGTTCCAAGGCGCTATTACTGCAGCTACATAATAGGTTATTAAATAGGCTTCTGCATGCTGGCCAAAGCAGCCAAGCATCATTTAGAAGTGTATACAAGAAAGCCCATGCCAAGTTTCACAAAACCCTCACATTGATTTTTTTTTCCTTCTTCAAACATTCATACACTATCTTTTTGCTGAGCCTGTCTCTCCTTCTACTTATAATTCACTATTGCCCTTGAAAGTTCCAATTCCTCCTTGAATAAACAACTGCAAAGTCTTCAACAAATGCTTTTCTGACAACTGTCCTGCTTCTGCCAACCCCTAAATACACGTCAGCATCTTTCCCATCCTCCACGATCCACAGCATTTGAGAGGTATCTCTCCAATTACCTGTTTGCATTAGAGTTAACGTTTTTCCTCCACAAATTTTTATGGTGAAAGATCTGAAATATTCAGAAAAGTTGAGAGAATGGTTCACTACACACATACATTCATATACTTACCGCTAGACTCCAACAATTGCTAACATTTCACCATATTTACTTTCAATTTATATACACATATACTTGCTCTATCATTTGAAAGTTATAGACATCAATTTACTTCATTTCTATATCCTTCAGTATGCATCTCCTAAAAATAAGGACATCCTCCTAATAACCAATTATCATTTCCACTTAGGAAATTAATAGTTCTTAATACTATGTATATGTAGCTGTGCCGGTGCTTTTAGAGAACAAGGACCTTATTCTTGTATATTCCTAGTACTTAACTGGTGCAGAGCACTTATGTGGGTGATCAATAAACGTCCCACCAACTGTTAAGTGTAATAACCTCACCACAACCACCACAAAAGTCATACAAGTTTAAAACCTAAAATAGCAAGATCTGACCATGCAACTCTGAAGGTTCTGCACATTAGCTTAGTCGTCTGCTTTCAAAAAACACATGCTGCAGTTAGTCTTTTGGTTTCTAAACTATTTATTTCTGCCTCACAATATGGAAGCTGCATGAGGACAGAGATCATTTCATCAGACACATAAATAGGCATATTGAATTCTTTTTTATGAATACTTTTTTTTTAATGAATACTTTCAACCACTGAAAATATTAGTGAAGAAACTGGAAGCAAAGAAGCATAATGGTAAGACAACAGTAGTATATGGGGTGCCTGGGTGGCTCAGTGGGTTGCAGCCTCTGCCTTCAGCTTGGATCCTGGTCCCAGGGTCCTGGGATCGAGCCCCCGCGTGGGGCTCTTTGCATGGGGCTCTCTGCTCCACAGGGAGCCTGCTTCCTCCTCTCTCTCTGCCTGCTTCTCTGCCTACTTGTGATCTCTGTCAGAAAATAAATAAAATCTTCAAAAAAAAAAAAAAGTAGTATAATTAAGAATACAGATTTTGGAATCTAATAAATGTGGTTTCTAATACACATTTAATAATAAGTTTAAATGTTTACTGGTAACAAAAGTGGTTTTAGTTAGGACAAGTTAAGTGGCCTCTCTAAGCCTCAGAACTTATACCAGTAAAGTGATAATAATACTCTAATATAACTCATGGAATTGTTGAGAGAAGTATATGAGAAAATACGTAAAGCACTTGGCACAATTAAGAATTCAGTTACTGGGGCGCCTGGGTGGCTCACTGGGTTAAAAGCCTCTGCCTTCGGCTCAGGTCATGATCCCAGGGTCCTGGGATCCAGCCCTGCGTCCCCTGCGACTAGCTCTCTGCTCAGCAGGGAGCCTGCTTCCCCCTCTCTCTCTGCCTGTCTTTCTGCCTACTTGTGATCTCTGTCAAATAAAATCTTAAAAAAAGAAAAAAGAATTCAGTTACTGGCAACTGCCTGAAATAAAAACCGTATTTTTCACTGAAGCCTTTTCAATAGCAAAACAAAACCCTATCCCAGGCTAGGACAAGGATGCTGGGTACTAAAGCCAGCCAAGCTTCCTCCTATACTTCCCCATCTAAGGCTTCCAGCACACTGAAGCAAAACAAGTATCACCCACAGGAATCCAAAGGTCGCCAACTCCCAGAAGTCGTCCAGAACCTAGTCCATGCGATCCTGTGGTCCCCACCCTCGGTCCTTCTCCCTCGAAGCGCGCGAGGTGCAGCACACTCGAACTGATTAGGTGAGGCAGTGACCTGCCGTCTCCGTTTTTACTCTGGAAAAGCTGCAACGCAAGGGCCTTTCTGTTCTTCTCAAGTCGGGGTGGGGGGTGCAGGCGGCGAGGAGAAGAGGGGTCAAGACTGAGGAAGGAAAATAAAAATAGCCGTCGCTACCCACATCAGTCCCCAGACTCGAGGCTGCCTGCTTTGGAGGAGCGAGCCCACAGCCTGGAGTACCAGCCACGGACGCTCGGCAGTTTCCTTCGGTTTCTTCTGAAATGTCGGGTCTCTCAAGCCCAAGGAATACAGAAGGGAGGCAACGGAGGAGGAGAAGAAAATAAGACGCGAAAAGACCCTCGGGGCTGGAGTGTCACGCCTCCGCGCCCACGCCGCCTTTCGCTCTGGCACACGCCCCTGGGAAGAGCGCGTGTCTAAGCTCCACAAAGCGCAGAAGACAAAGCAACTAACTGCCCAGCAGCGGCCTCGGGTGACCGAGCTCGGCACCTCGGTTCTCCTCGGGGCTGAGTCCTCACCTGCTACCGCAGCAGCAGCCACGCAAGCTGCAGAAGATAGCCGCGCCCTTCCCAGCTTTCGGCTTCCCCTTTAATCCCAGAGACAGAAGAAGGCAAGTGGATGGCAAAAGACTCCACCTGTTAGCTTGGACGCAGGTCTCCTCTCTACAGTAGGAGCTGAAGGGCCACACAGAGGTACTGCAAAGCACTACACCACCTCCCTTATCTCGGTCACGCCTCTCCCCGCCCGCCTCGGGTCTCACACAGAAACCTCACCGGGCGGAACGCTTTCCGGCAAGTGCCAAACGGCCTGCCCGGCCCCCATAAGCACACCCCTCTTAAAGGCACGGTAGTTCCGTTTCCGGCAGCACCAGATAAGTCGCGAGAGGAAGCTTAAATCCTGTCGTTTGTGTTTAGGACCACTTTCGGTGAGTGGTCGTTCCGGTATGCTTTGTTAGAGGTAGTGGTTTTTTTAAAGTGAGGCATCACCTGAGAGTAATTTCGAAACCATTTGCATCGACTAGTTTAAGGACGGGTTTAATTGACCGCGGGGATTGCGCAGGCGCTCTTGGGGAGAGAGGGCCTTGCTTGGGCGTTGCGGTGTCCCGCGCCAGCTGAATTGAAAAGGGGCGAGTTCTGTAGTCGGGCGTGGGGGTGGTGCTTCGTCTGTGGGACCGAGTTTTGCTTCAGATCGTTTGGCTGATCAGGTTAAGCTTAGCTGGACCTTGCCCTTCAGAATTGATTAACGAGCCATTCAAACTCGCTGGAAATGCTCTCCGATAGTTAAAGTAGCGTCCGAGACCGCGAGCAGGTTGACCGCCGCAGTTGGCGGACTCGGAAGAATTCTCCCCACTTGACTTTACCATCGTTGTCGTTTGATCTGGAATATTGCCCTCTTGCTCCCAAATTAAAATTACCTTTGGCGGGGAAAATCGCGAGTTCGGGGGAGAATCTTGTCCGGTAGTAAGGAAAAGAACACTACCTCAGTGTGGGTTTTCCTCAAATGAGCGTTTCTGGGCCAGAGTAGAGAAATTGTGTTCAAAATGTAAATTCATGTATCACACGTGACTTTATGTGTTTGCTTCTGGAAGTGAAGGCATTTTGGTTAAACGAATTTGTAGGTTGAAGTGAAGCAGATTAGAAGTGTTCTGGTGTCATTAGTTTTCCCATTCTTAGACATTACCAAAAAATTGTGTTCCTCTTTTTCTCAAAGATTAGACTAAATCAGAAGTAAAAATTCTGATCACAAGTTAATATATTGAATATGTTGAAATATTGCAAAATTTAAGTTTTTAAGCTGGAACACATGCATGTGACAACTCTTTGGAGACTTAAGTTGTTGCCCTTGATGGGTTTTGTCCAATTCTTATTTAAAGTGATACTTAACTGCCTTACTTTTTGCATACGCAAGATAAAATTAAAGGAATTAAGTAACAAATATTTACGCAACTACTTATTGATTTTATTTGACGTTGTCCTAGGGACCTAGCGTTAAAGCTCAACCAAATTTGACCCTGACAGTTCTTCTTGCAAAATTAGAACTTGTCATCAGCGACCTTCACCTCCTTTTGTCATCCCTACATATTTTAATACACAAGTACTTATTTAACACAAATTCTTAAAAATAAGGACTATTTAAAGAAGGCTTAATACTTATTTTTATAACTTAAACCACTTAATTCTCCCTTGTAAATGATACTTCTGTTTAATATTTGGATATAGGAAACTACTTGATTTATGTTTGTTCTACTCTTACAGCTTAAAGCCTGTATTATTTCTGTATATAAATGCCAAATATTAGCAGCAAATTTTAACCTATTTAGATGATTTTCATTTTTATGAACTGATTTTTCTTATGTATTTAAGCTTGTGAACCACATTAGACTATAATTATTACAAAGTTTGCAACTCTTCAGTCTTCTGGCTTTCCTTGTTAACATTAAAACATAAACTTTAGGGGCACCTGGGTGGCTCAGTGGGTTAAAGCCTCTGCCTTCGGCTCGGGTCACGATCCCAGGGTCCTGGGATCAGCCCCGCTTCCGGCTCTCTGCTCAGCGGGGAGCCTGCTTCCTCCTCTCTCTCTGCCTGCCTCTCTGCCTACTTGTGATCTCTGTCAAAAAAAAAAAAAAAAAAAAAAACAAAACCCGTAAACATTACCGTTAAACATTAATCACCATTAGTGAAAACGAGATTTTAAATCTTTTTCCTTGTAGATAAAGGTTTTGAGAAAAGAGTTTTCTATTACTTTGAACAGTTTGAGATGAATGATAAATATTTTAACAATAATTATATATTGAATTACCATTTGCAAGGGACTTTGCAAATCCTTAATCTCACTGATCTGGTATTTATGAAAAAGGAGGAATAAGTATTATTTTCTTTTTTCATATGTGATTACTGAAGCTTAGGTAGCTCATACACCACAAATTTTGACTCCTAAAAGCCATGACTTCGTAGACACACCCTACTTATGTTGCCATATATATGTAAGAGAAGTAGTGTTTTCCTAAGTGAAATAACAATTACGTTTGGAACATGTGCTCTTTTTTTTTTAATTCACTGCTATCTTTCCTATGAGGAATGGCAAATAATTCTTTGCTCATTCACAAATACGTGAATGTCCACTGTGTCCCAAACTATGTGAAATGATATAAACATTAAAAATTAATAAGACTTGGGACGCCTGGGTGGCTCAGTTGGTTAAGCAGCTGCCTTCAGCTCGGGTCATGATCCCGGTAGCCTGGGATCGAGTCCCACATCGGGCTCCTTGCTTGGCAGGGAGCCTGCTTCTCCCTCTGCCTCTGCCTGCCACTCTGTCTGCCTGTGCTCACTCTCGCTCCTCTCTCTCTGACAAATAAATAAATAAAATCTTTAAAAAAAAAAATTAATAAGACTTTTGTCACTTTTCATATGTAATCTGAATTATTAATTACAAAATAATTTTACAACTTCACTAGAAGAGGCCTGAACCAAGTATTATGAAATCTGAGATTGACAGTAATGAAGTTATTCGCATAGCAGGGGGAAAAAAGCCAACAAAATTTGAAACAACAGAAAACAAGGGTCAGATGTCAGTGCCCCCACTCACTGTGTTGCTTTGAGCAAATTGGATAATCTCTCTGAAACTCTATTTTCTTATCTATAAAGTGGATATACAGCTAGTGCCTACTTCATAGGATGTTGTGAGGATCATCACAGTAAAGCATTGTATAAATGTTTGCAATTCTTAAAAATTGCCTTTGTAGTTCATTAAAAAATTCTTTTTTAAAAAAATATTTTTTTTATTTATTTGACAGAGAGAGAGAGGTCACAAGTAGGCAGAGAGGCAGGCAGAGAGAGAGGGGGAAGCAGGCTCCCCACTGAGCAGAGAGCCTGATGTGGGCCTCAATCCCAAGACCCTGAGATCATGACCTGAGCCAAAGGCAGAGGCTTAACCCACTGAGCCACCCAGGCGCCCAAAAATTCTCCTTTAATTAAAAAAAATTATTCCTTGCCCCTGTAGTTTTTTCAGATGTCATTTAAATAATAGCATATAGTATGTAGCCTTTTGTGTCTGACTTTTTTCATTTAGCATAAAAACATGGTTTTTAGATTTATCCCTATTAAGTATCTTTTTAGTTCGTTCATTATCAGTGCTGAGTAGTATTTCACCATATGGATCTACCATGATTTATTTATCCACTCACCAGTTGCTGAACATTTGGTTTGTCTTCAGATTTCAGCTGTTAGGAATAAAGCTTCTAGAAACAGTCCCATACACATTTGTATGGACATATACTTTAATTTCTCTTGAGTTAAAACTGTTTGCCAGCATGTTTGTACCATTTTTGTATTCTCACCAGTGATGTTCTGTATCCTTGGTAGTACTTAGTATTGTTAGTTTTCTTTTTTCTTTTCTTTTCTTTTTTGGCCATTTTGATAGATGTATAGCAGTATTTTAACTTTATTTGTTTTTTTAAATGTCTAATTGTGTTGAGCATATTTTCGTGTGTTTATTCGCAAGTCATATTTTCTTTGATGAAAGGTCTGTTCAAATCTTTTGCCCATTTTCTAAGTTGGATTGTTTGTACCTTATTGAGATTTAAGGATTCTTTACAAATTCTTTGCAATGATGAGGATGGAGCTAGAGATTTATACAAGGCAAAATAAGTCAGAAAAAGACAAATACCATATTTCACTTATATGTGGAATCTAAGAAACAAAACAGATGAACATAGGGAAAGAAAAAAAAGAGAGAGAAGCAAACCGTAAGAGACTCTTAACTATAGAGAACAAACTGAGGGTTGATGGAGGGAGGAGGGTGAGTGATGGGTATTAAGGAGGGCACTTGTGATGAGCACTGGGTGTTATATATAGTGATGAACTACTAAATTCTACACCTGAAACCAAATTTACCATATATGTTAACTAACTAGAATTTAAATGAAAATTTGAAAGAAATAAGAGTTATTTATAAGTTCTGAATACAAGTTTTTTATTATATTTGTATACTGCAAATATTTTCTCCCAGCTGTTACTCTTCTTTTCACTTTCTTAACATTGCCTTTAAAAGAACAAACGTTTTTTGGGGCACATGGGTAGTGCAGTTAATTAAGCATCTGACTCTTGATTTCAGCTCAGGTCATGATCTCAGAGTCATGAGATCAAACCCCTGCAATGAGCTTCGTGCTGAGGTGGTTTCTGCTTGAGATTCTCTCCCTCTGCCCCTTCCCCCTGCTCCTGCTCAACTTCTCTCTCCTCTCGCTCTCTCTCTCTCTGAAATAAATAAGTAAATAAATCTTAAAAAAAAATAAAAGAACAAAAGGTTTTTGGTTTTTTATTATTTATCTTTGT